AGTGGTCAAATGGCAGAGCTTTTATTTCGTATGTTAATGTAAATAAAGCTTACTATGAACAGCCTAATTGGATTCTATTTGATCTGCAACTTCTGTTTACTCGGCTAGACCATCTTGTGCTTTTGTGTTTTACTGTAAATTCCGCAGCTCAAGGCATGTGAAATAATGAGCTTGAGATATTTTTTTATTATTATTGTTTTTTAAACAGACACATTTATGCTTGCCTTTTTGTGTCACCGTGTGCACGCTCACATTACATACCCGTAACCAGGGCGGGTTCAGGTGGTTTGAACGACACCCCCCCCCCCCCCACGATCAAAAGCTTCAGAATTTATATTTTTATTTATTTTATGTTACAATAAAAAATAAAAATAAAAAACGGGTGCTCCGGTTTCCCCCACAGTCCAAAGACATGTTGTATAGGTGAATTTGGTATGCTAAAATTGAACGTAGTGTATAAATGTGTGTGTGAATGAGTGTGGATGGATTTTTTCCCAGTGATGGGTTGTGGCTGGAAGGACATCCGCTGTGTAAAACATATGCTGGATAAGTTGGCGGTTCATTCCGCTGTGGCGACCTCAGATTACTAACTGGAAAATAAAATAAAAGAATGAATGAAATATCTTTGGCCAGTAATTCGAATCCCATGGACCCTCAAAGCCACAATAATGTGACGCAAGTCACGTGACATAACCCACCGAGCGGTAATGTTTGAATCTTTGATGCGACATCCTCATCCATACTGAGTAATGCTATGGGTCAAAACGAGAATAAGAGACAGAACAGAAAGCAGGCAACAACGTCATTGTCACAAAATATTAAACACGTGTAGATTCTTGATTTGTACCATGACCTCTCATTTTTCTCAGTCCTCACTGACCTCACCGTTCACTTCAAAGCAAAAGGCGCTAATAAGTTTACTATCCGCTTGTTAAGTGTGACGTCATACGAATCGGCTTCCGGGTTCAAGCGCTCTATTCAACTGTATGGGGAGATTCATGAAATGGTAATTATAAACGTTTACAAAGCGATTTAATACTTTCGAAAACCACGATCGATATATATATGTCCATGCCTAATATCCGATGGCCCGAAAGTGATTCATTTTTTTATAAATTGTTAAAATTGAGGTATTTGTGATGCAGCAAGCCCAGAGATTGTTGTGTACACTATGACTTTATATAAAATTAACTTTAATGTGTGACATGAATTGAAAGTGATCATAAACATATAATTTCTCAACTCAACATACATACATACTTACATACGTCACAAACACGTCATCACTTAACAAGCGGATAAGCATAAGTGTTAACGAACAAAAAGTTTAAGTAAGATCTTTGCAAGCTATATTATATGAAAATGTTTGAATAATAATATCTGTTTGAATATAAATCACCTATTAATTATTCAAGCATGTGGTGCTTTGACGAATAACTACTAATACAATCTCAATATATTTAAATAGTTTAAATAATTGTTATCAATATTGTGCATATTGATTATCACAAAATATTCCATTATTGAATTTCACCATATGTCTACCTCTAGGGCAAGTCCCCATAAAAATGAAAAAAAAAAAAAAATAAATAAATAAATTAAAATAACATGTAGTGTGTGTTCAGACTGACAAAATTTGCACATGATCTTAGTAAGCAACTTTACAAAACAGTCATTATTTTTGTTACTGTAAAAAGCATGCATATGATTCCAGAAGACAAGCTAGTCCAGCACAAATTTCATAAAATGTCATTAAAATGCTGTATTTAAACTTCATAATCAAATACAAAATGTTGGGAAAAAATGCAAAAACAATGTCCACTGTTAGAGAAAAATAGCCCCCACTTTTGCTAGGCAGCCTGTGGGCTTGCATTAGCTCCTATTGTTTAGTCAAGAGGTGTTATACTTCTGCAATAATCACAAGCGTTTATGTTGACACTGTTATTAATAATAATTATACTTGTTGTACTTCTGTATTGCAGGGGGCGCTCACCTGATTGGTATAATAAAGTTTTCGGTCATCTGTGTGCGATGGAGGTTGCCAGAATACGCAGCTCATTCCCTGTTCTTACAGCACGAGGACCCGAAACCAAACTCTGAACCCACTGGGTTAAAACGTGAAACTGTTTTATATAAGAAAGAATGAGAAGGGTGAGTGTGCAGGTGTATAACCAAGGATGCCAGTGTAAGTGGGAAAGTGGAAATAAAAGCGAATGAGAAGTCTGGAAATGAATGACAAAGCACAGTACTGTGTGTAATAGTTGGACTATGCAAAAAATCAACAACAACAAAAACAAACCCACTGTGGTTTTAAAAGCCATGGATGGTTAATGTGAAAAGCTCAAGCTCACAATCATACGGTTGATAATGCGTCTAATCTGTTTGTGTGTTTTGTTTGTGTGAGTGTTTATATTTGTGTTAAGCAGTGCGTATCTGCAGTGCCTTAAATAATTTGTCTAATAATCCGGCGTGGTTTGTCAGACACCTCATTCTTTCTCAGGTAAACAAGTTTTTGACTTGCGCAGGAATTTTTTGTCTTGATGCACTGATAATGACCAGTTTACTCAAATGCCAAGCACTAGACGTTTAGAACATCCAAGCATCTGCTTTCTGTGTTCTTGGCATTTTGTACATCATCAGTCCAGCTTGACACACAACATAGAGACTACAAACATGTTCTGAGTGGTGCTGTTGAGCAAATACGACACGCTCGGCTGATAAACTATATGATAATCGGATGTGTGCAGGCCAAATCGAATCAGTCTGACATTTTTGTACATCGGTTATTTTTGTGACCTCAGTCCCTTTCTTTTTCCCCCACCCCCTCCTTTCTTATTTATTTGCGTCAGCCATTTGCAAACTTCATTTGTGAAGTTTTAATAATTTAACGTCTGCATGGAATCCATGGGAATGATATTCAAGAGACTTTATTACAGCTTTACTTTTTGTACTTTAAACTTTTTTATTACGCCTAAAGGTAAGGATTTTTTTTTTTTGATACAATTTAATTTACTTATTACATTTCTTAACTGTTATCATTAATCCTAAGTGCCTTTGAGAATCTAAAGAGAAACGTTTGTATTGCGCTAGACTTTTGTTTCGTTTAAATCTGTGCCGTTTCACCAGGGCATTATGTAATATCAGTATTTTATTTATTAAAACGTATAGCTATGTGTATACATTTGTTTTAAGTTTTCTGCCTCAGTGAAATAGTTCAAGTGTCATAATATGGTTATATTTGGCTTTACTCATTCTAATATGTAAAACTCTGGTCCATTTACACATCTTTTTGAATCATATTTCTATTGGTTTTCTAGTAATGTTGATTTAATTCTTACATTAACAATCAAACTTGCTTGTGTAATATGCCAACTTAGCCTTCCGTGCAATGAAAATAAAGGAGCTTTTCAAAGAATGTTTGTGTTTCTGTCTTGGGTTTTTTATACTGAGTGAGGTATTAAGCCTAAGAACAGAATTTAATTCAACTAACAGGAGTCTTACGGTGTTCGTCAATCCCTTTAGATCACATTGGCGTCCTGCTGGCACAAGGTGTGCTGTAGGACATCGGAAGACATGGGTTTATTTCTCCAAACATATATTTTAGAGTAGGTGGTGGAGAACTATCACTTACAAAATTTGCTTTCCTACATTATTCATTGTAAATTTGTTACTGATACACAGTAATTACTGATTCTGAGTCACAGTCTGTGGGCTGACAGCCGGCCTTGTCGTGGTGAAACCTCCTTCTGAGCTGTCAGTTCTCTGGGGAGATAAAGTGCTCCTTATTTTTTGCCTCTTTAATAATTCAAGCGTATAAAATTGGCCAATTATGCTGTGCCAATGGCTAACAGGTGACAGTTCCCCAACACCTTTTAATGTTACATGAGTGAAATGCTTTTGAATAGGTCAGAAAATAAGTTGGACAATAGATAGTTAAGTTCTTTTTTTATTATTATTATTATTATATATTTTTTTTTAGGAAATATAGGTTGCTTCAAATGCTAAGAGATACATTTAAGCTCTGTCAGCTGCAGAATATTTATTTATGTATACGTGACATCTTTTAATTATTCTTGTTATTTTTTTGGAATGCAAGTCTATGCAGAAAATGTTATTGCCAGAGAGCTGTATTAAAATAGCCAGTGATACCACACTGAGACAATGACCTTTGTGACAAATCTAGTTCATGCAAAAAAAAAAAAAAAAAAAAAAAAAAATCTGGCTATTTAGAGTTATATGGAGTATTGTGTGTGAGAGAGAGAATGTGAGAGAGACCCTGCAAAGAATGGTAGCAAAAATGAAGCTCCACACCACATGTAATGCAAAGGTTACTGCAAAAGAAACTTTGGTACCACACAGTAAGCTGCCAGCTAAATGTGGCAGATTTTAAAATAGATTTGCCTCTAAGATGCAGTAGCATACAAATGTGAAGACTACATGATAATATTCAGGATATGACAATATAAATATATTATATATATGATAAATGCATTCTGGCATATGAATAATATGATATACTGAATAATAATGATATGATATATTGAATAATAATAATACTATATATTGATTAATGATATGATATATTGAATGATATGCTATTTCTATTTTATTTAATTATATATATATTAATTAATTTATAAAAAATATTCTACTACTATTTACTGTGTTTACAGTTTTTCTTTTTTGTTAATATATATGTATGTTACTTTTTATGTAAACTTTTTTTGGAAATACATTTGTAACATTTGTCATGTCAATAAATCTAATATTGAATTCAATTGAATTTAATATTCAGGTAAAACATGAGCATCGATGTTCGATGAAAAATATTTATTAAAACTATGCCTTAAAAACCCCTGAGCACTATGTTGTGATGTTGCAATCATATCGCACTCTGGCACATACCGTATAGGTGCTGAAGTGAATATATGAAGCAGGGATCGAAGGTATGTCCATATAAAGGTATTTAAGTTTCTAATTCATCTAGAGCATACAAATACCATAATATGGTAGCAGATATTTAAGAAACATGTCAAGTGAACGTTGTTTATCTGTAAAACAAGAGTTATTCTGCCTAGAAAATGAGTTAAGTGTCTTTTGTTTTTTGTTATTTTAACCCGCCCACTGACATTCAGTCGATTACATTTCAGCACCCCTGGTTGGCTTGTCGGAAAACCGCGTGTTTGACTTAGGAAGGCTCTTAAAGTATGCGTCCGTGACCGAAATGCTACCTCCGGTGGACAGTAACAGCCAACACGACAGTAACAGTGGACAACAACAAGACGCAGATTCAGAGTTCCGGTGGTTCTGAGCAAATAGTATAAACGTATAAACGGAGTACAAACGTATAACGTAAACATTAGGTGAGCAGGTTACATTGTAGCCCCGTGTCCTAACAATAGGCTACGTGAGGAGATGCAGTTTTAAGCAATTTGGCTGTGTGCACCAGGAACATGGAAAAAAAAGTACAGCCATTTAGAAGCACAGAATAATGTTACTGCACTGCACTCCAGCTAAATGGTAAGGTTTACAATCTGATTATTGCCTATTAAACCTCTTTAACATTATAATGTGTACATGCTGAAGGTCACAGTTCTGAAGTTCAATTTCAAAGGGTTTATTTTATTTTCAATATTTCACAGAATTGAGCATAATTTTTGTTGCTGTTATTTGCACAACCAAATAATTGCCACGAAACCCCTTATTGATGTCCATAATAATCAAATATGTTTGCCTCACTGTCTCCATATAGACAACTTTTCCGTTGTAGTCAATTTGCTCAGTAGCTCGCTTTGGACAGTATTGTACTTGTGATGCAGAGTGCTTGGGTTCAAGTCCAGTGAAGCACATTTGCACAAAATAGACAAAAGCAATGTAAAATCATGATAAAATTGTGGTCGCAGTGCACTTCTATGTTTGCTTTTAAAAACTGTTGGTTGGGTGTAGGGAAGTGTTTATGTCACTGGTTTGCTGGTATTGGGTGACCTATCTGAAACATGCAACGAAACTTGCCCAGGGGGATGAATCTTCATTCAATTATTCATTCATTCATTCATTCATTCATTCATTTTCCTTCAAGTTAGTCCCTTATTCATCAGGGGTCGCCACAGAAGAATGAACCACCAACTTATCCAGCATATGTTACTGAGCCACCTTGTCACCCAGAATGCATTTTATGTTTTGCAAAAATGTAGGCTGAGGAACGTCTTTCCAATGAGATGAGGGCTAAAACAAACTGCAGCTCAACACGTGTGATTTTTGCAGATGCACATAAAGTGCATCGAATGTCAGTACTGCAGACTGTTGTGAATGTTCTCAGCACCATTAGCCAAGGGCAAGGCTGTGCATTAAAGATAATTATCTTTATTTTTTCCATAAGAGCTCAATATTTTGTCAGGAGCTATATAGGCTTTATTTTTGTTTTGCCTTTTTTCTGACTTTCAGAGTGCTGGGATCTGCATTAAGGACCACAGTTTTGGCTCAACTTCTTCTTTGATGTTCTTCTGAATGGAAATAGTTACTTAAATCTTAGATGACCTGAGGGTGAGTATTTAAGCAATCTATTTTAATATGTAAATAAATAAATACATACTACACACACACACACACACACACACACACACAAATAAAAATGCAGTCTTCACAATAACTTACCAACAAATGTGCTTGTTGCAACTTGCAGCTCATTTTCTTAACAGCTCTGCTTCCATCAAGGTCTGCTTTAACACTGCTGTTGTCTTGGAATTCTGTATAAAGGTTTAGTTTACAGTGTTATTAAGCTTTTAAAATAAAGCAGCTATATTTAACTTCAATCTTCACATCTATTTTGCATAATGTCTAGGTTTTCCCTCATAAGTGAGCAGTATTTAATCAATGTTTAATCAGTGGGCTCATGATTTGACTAAAGGAAAGGGTTTATTTTCTAACGAGAGAAGTACCTGCTGAAGTGTAAAATGTTTTAGGAAGACAATATTCATAAAAGTTAAAGCAGCAGATCATTAGTGTGTGTGTGTGTGTGTATAAAATCAATGAAATAAGCATATTTGGAAATAAATTTGAGCAAAACAAAGGATCAGAAGGATCTTCTTCAGCATTGAAACTAAACCTAGAGGTTACCCTAAATGAGGGTTTCCTAATTCAGTATGACGGGTAACAAAGCATGTGCCAGATTAGCAATGTACTAATGTGATGTCCTGTTGATCATCTGCCTAGAATCCAAAGTGGTTTCCTGTTTTTTTCTAAGAACTTGACACAGGCTGGTGGTCTTTTGCACAGCAATTAATTTCCTTGTACTTCAGTGCTTCCTTCTCATTGTTATCACCTGCTCTAGATAACAATGTAATGCCTAGAAATGCGTTGATGCAATTGTCTTTATGAAAAACGGCCTGTAGCAGTTGCATGCTGTAAGTTTTATTCACAATGTTGAATTAGGTAGGTTTTAGATTTATTGCAGTTCTCTCTCTTTATCTTTCTCTGACCTACTCTTCTGTTTTATGCACTCTCTTTTTATCCCTTCAGTTTTGATTGTGCCTTACCTGTTGTAGCGATTAGATAAATAGATTGTCTGATAGCTGGTAAAATTGAACAACATTGAGGCCACTTTTCAGGCATGTGGATATTTATCATATTATTGTCGTTAAAGGGGTGGTCCACTACGATATCATATTTTAAACTTTAGTTTATGTGTAATGCAGATTATTAAACAACATATAGCATAATCAACATCTCTGAATGTAATATGCTCAAAGTTCAATGCAAAGGGAAGCATTGACTTTTACAGAGTTAGCTTAGCAAAACCTACAGTGAACAAAGTTTGGGCATAACAAGAAAATACATCTGAGTTAATGAGTTCACAGGGGACACCCTCATGATTGTAAAATGCTTTGGGGGAATACACGACAAATGTGTTATATAAATGCACACATTACATTTGTGAAAACCAAACAAGTAGACGAAGACCACTGAAAAGATGGTTTTCGGTTTACTTCCATGCGTAAAACTATGGCATGACTTCAAAAGAGCTTTAAAAAAGACAATGTTCCTGTTTTCAGTAACACTTTAGAATAACTATCCGTTATAAATAGTTAATAGATCATTAACAAACATTCAGGTAAAGAGTTTTAAATGACTTGTTAAATAAAAGTTAATAGTTTGTTAATTATTCATAACTGTGCCTTTTTTATAGCCAATAGATAACTTACAAGCTGTCCTAAATATCTTGTTAACTTTATTTTAAGTATTTATAACTATTCCTAATAAACTAGTTATAGATCATGAACAAGCTGTTAGTAAAGTACTTACTAAAGACTTGTTAAGTATATGTTAATCGTTTATATATGTTATTGGGCATGATTCTATTGCAACTATTCTTCATTTACTAAATGTTAGTAAATGAGGAATAGCTGCACCTTTAGAATAACGTCCCAATAACATACATAAGCTTAAAACTAACATTTAACTAATATATTAACTCAAACTTTACAGATCAGTTGTTCATAGTTTGTTTACCATCTAATAACACCAGTAAAACTTTTGTTGAACTTTAATAAAATAATTTGTATTTATTTTGTTTTCATGTTTAAATGAAAACAAACCTCATGGGTTTGTATTTTGTTGTATACTGCTGTTCTGCCATGTGATAGCTCAGTATGTGTGTTTCTATACATTAAACACAATATTAAACATTTCATCTGTAAAGTTTATTTGGTTAAAATACAGCACACAGAAAAGCCTATGAGTGGAACAAGGTTAAGGTAAAAAAATTAAAAAATAATTATATATATATATATATATATATATATATAATTAGTTATTTATTTATTTATTTTTTAAATATTACATCAAATTTCTGTAGCTTGTTCTACAAAGGTTTCACTGGTAGATGGTTAACAAACTATGACCAATTGATCTGTAATGTGAGTTAATATATTAGTTAAGTGTTAGTTATTAGCTAAAGTATGTTATTGGGTCATTTTATCTAAAGCTGCAACTATTTCTCATTTACTAACAGTTAATAAATGAAGAATAGTTGCAACTAGAATAACGTCCCAATAACATATACAAACTATTAACTGATACTTAACAAGTCTTTAGTAAGTACTTTACTAACAGCTTGTTCATGATCTATTGCTAATATATTAGATATAGTTATAAATCATTAAAATACAGTATCAAGTTGTTTAGAACTTGTTAACTTGTTAACAGCTTGTAAGTTATCTTTTGGCTATCTATAAGGCACAGTTATAGATAATTAACAAACTATTAACTTTTATTCAACAAGTAAATTTTAACTCATTAACTAACAGTTTATTAATGATCTATTAATTCATTCTAAAATGTTACCGAAGTTTAATTAGTTCATCTTCAAAATCTATGTCAGAAATCTTTTTTTATAAGCTTTAGGTTGAAACTTAAAAATACTTTTTTGAACATTCAGTCAATTGTGACCAAATATATATTATTCCTTGGTAAAGCAACCAAAATACAAGCTTGAATTTCTTTCACTTAAAAGTTATTTCATTTAAAAAGTGGGAAAATCCAAATCCTTATTCTCTGTATGCTCAGTGCACAAAACCAGGAATGTTCATTTCCACTGCTTCTCAAGGATGATATATTAAAAAAAAGTATAGATCCATAATGTGAGACTTTTAATTAGGCAATTAATATAACCACAGCAGCCTGTAATATGAACTGATTTCATGTCCACCGATGTAATTTAGGGTGGGCAATGCAAGAATGCTCCCTGGGCCCATTTCTTCTGTTTTTGTTTGAGCAGAATAGATTGATATTCGAATCAGGCTTTGTTGTCTGACTTTCTGTGACTCAAACACTAACCTGCAGCTATAAATGATACAGCTCAGTTAGCAGATGACTGACCTTGGATGCTTTTTTATTAAGCCTGAGCACTGCAAGGGAGATCAGGGAGTGTCTTTCCTCAGTAAAGCCGCTCTCTGATAATGAACTCCATCCTAAGTCTTTCTTACAAAACATTGTCTGAAAGCTGATTACAGTACGCCAGATGTAGGAAAAGAAATCAGCGCTGCCAAACTGCTTCAGTTATGTATATTTAAATAATTATTATTTATTTGTTGCAATTATTTGGTTTTTACATTCATTTTTACATACTTTAGACAAATGACAATCACATCAGACAAAAGAAAGCTGTGAACTTCATGGATAATAAAATCACACAATAAAAGTCATGTAATTTAATAACAGCAACGTGAATCATTTGATGTCAATGTGAACACACACAGTAGTTATCTTTATTCCTTTGTACATTTTAGTGCTGTGATTGTTTTTTATTGTAATCTTTCATGGTTGAATCGTTTCAATACACATACTTCCTTCTCCACCATATTTATTTTCAGTTTGGTAACACATTACTTAAAGGGGGTGTTCATAAATGACATGACACAATTATGACATGACACATATCATGAATATGAATGACATTTTATGCATGCTCAACTGTCATTAAGTGTCATTTGTCAGCTGTCCTTTAAAATGCAAAAGTGACATTGTTTAAAATGTCTTTGATATTACAACTTTACAGAACCAAATACATCACAACCTGTCAGTGTCTTTGTCACGACAATTTGACATTACCGAGACAACATAACTTGTCATAAATTCGTCATAAACATGAATGTAATTATGCAAGTACACTTGTACTATGAATTTATAACCTAAACCACTAGTGGTACCAATTGAATTTGGCATTTAAATGTCATCAATTATTAATTATGCTGTTATAAATTTATTTTACAGAGTACTGACACCAGAAAAGCTGTAACTGTAAACTGTTTTGTTGTGATAAAAGTGATCAGAAGAATATCCATGACACAATGGGCTATATGCACAGCCCACGTTTTTCAGCCAACAATGATTTTCCGATAAAAGCTTAATGTGACAATTTTCAGTTTCATAAGCCTTATTTTACAGCCTCAATGTTTTAATGTAATTACAATACATTCAGTTAAGTAGACTTAAGAATATATTTTTTTATTAAAGCGTGAAAAGAGGCAGAAACCCGTTTAAACACAGGCACCATCATAAGCTGCAAGCTAGCACAGAAACTCTATTGAAAACACTGGGGTAAAATTAATTATTTTAAAGACATGGCATGGAAAAGAATAATTTAATGAAGTGCTTCTTGTTTGGTTTGAGACCCACCATATAGTGCATCTTAGCCAGGCAGTGAAGATCACTGTTTTGTAAAGAAATCAGATCTTAAATGCGTCAATTTTGGAATGACAATTCACCGGAAGCCCTGGGGCTGGCTGACTGAAATTAAAAGTCTGTGTGCATCTAACCCATTAAAATTGCATCATGAAAGATTTTTGACAAAGTATGTTGTCTTGGCAAAGTCAAGTTGTCATAACAAAGACATATCAAACAATGTCACATTTGCATTTAAAATGACATAACTGAGCGGATGACACTTAATAGCAGTTATCATAAAAATTCATTCATATTCCTGACATGTCATGTCATGATTATAAAGGTGTCATGAACGGCCCTTCAAGTAATGTTTCCTGACTATATGCAACTGCCATCCCTGATTCTTTGTTTTCCAAACACATCCACACAAGCAAACAAAAATGCAATTAAATCAGTCGGAAGCATTCCAATCCTCATCCCGCCGGGTCCGTCCCGAACAGTCTCCTATCTGCTCCTCTGACAGCCACAGAGTTTGGCTTTCTCCTGGTACACATGCGCTGCTCCAGGTCTTTATGGCAAGTTGAAGTTTCTTAGGTTTACGGTATGTGCTTTCTTTGCTTTTCCATATAAGGCTGGTTTTACATATTAATTGCATAAGCATATATTGTTGATGATGGTCTGCTGGTTAATGTGGCTGTGCGCGCTCTCATTTCTTCAACCCTGCAGGCTTCTCTAAGCCTTATTAACTTGTGCAGAGGAGGAGAGCATCTTGAGTGTTTGTGCGTGTGTGTACTGTATGTGTGTGGGGTCATTATCCTGTCATCTATTCACTTTTTAATCCACATGGAATATTAATCTCAGAGCAGATGCATAGTGTGTGTTTGTGTCAGTTAGTCTGCTGGCAGCGATATTTCAGACACTGTTTAAGTCGCTGCTGAAACGCGCTGGTTGTGATTGTGTACAGGATGGGGTTCAGGGCACTGTTTATAGGAAGGATAAAAATCACCACCCACAGAATGATAGTACCTGGAGAGGAGAGACAGACAGAACGAGAGAGAGAGAGAGAAGAGCTTGCAGATTAAATTGCATTGTCCAAGGGAAGAACTGCAAATCCATTCTAGCTGATAAGTGTACGTGTGTGCTCATGGTGGTTGAATGTCTAATCTTTGTTGTACCCGAGGCTTCAGGTCTCAGACATCTGCTAATCAAAATGCACCTCTCAGCTTAGACTGGTTACTTGCTTGTCTGTTGTGTTTGCCTTAAAAATTCAGCTTGAAGAAAAAAATAAAATCAACAAAGAGATGTAATCCTTTTAATAAAAATAATATATACTTTTTATAGTATATAATATAATTTTATATATAAAAGTTAAGGAATGTGTATTTGGTAGAAGAAGAAGAACATAAAACAAATTGTTATTCTCACCAAATGGCGAATTTTCTGGAAACAAAATTATTATTATTATTATTATTATTATTATTATTATTATCAATAATAATAATAATAATAATAATAATAATAATAATAATAATATTGTTGTTAATAATGATATTAATAATGATTATGATAATAATAGAAATAATAATAAAAATAATAGCAGCATTAATATCAATAGTAAATACAAACTTCATGATTTATTGATTTTATTACCTATGCCTGTAAGTTAATAAAGTTATTAATATAGTAAGTCTCAATTAGAAGAATATATGTCTTCTCATTTAAAATTCATTATTTTCATACTTTCATTTAAAGGATAGCTATCACCTAGTACCTTCACTCTCAAGGTACATTCACTTGACAATAATGTAAAAATGTACTTAGTCAAAACAGATAACAGATACAGACAACAAGATGCTATAAACTCCCTTATCCACATGGATCCACTACAAGCCAGCACCACCAAATTCTTCTGCACACAGACTAGTAGCCTGCTGCTGATGTTTTGGTTGCCTCAGGTGTCTTATGTATGCGCTCATATTGTACACAGTTAGCCTTTTGACTTGATATGCAATATGCACATGAATAAGTCATTTTCAGCAATGCACTTTTTTGTCATTTGCACATTTTTAGAAACTTACGCTTTGAAACAGCCACTAAGTAAGTTTTTTAAATAAATATAGTAGCCACAAAGTTTTATTTTTTTCTGAATCTGATACATCAAGCTGATCATATATTGTCATGGAAAATCATCCATCTTTGTATGTTGGTTTGTTACCTTAAATTTTGAATTTATTTAGCCCTACTTTTTAGTCCTTAGTTAGTAGTTATGCCTATAACTACATGTCTGTTTTACTTCTACAGGAACAGATATTAATTAAATGTTCTATACTCTATTCTTGTGGATGTAGTTGATGCAGTTGAAGTCAAAATTATTAGTCTTATGATTGTTTTTCTTTTTTAAATATTCCCCAAATGTTGTTTAACAAAGCAATGCATTTTTCACACTATTTACTATAATATTGTTTCTTCTGGAGAAAGTCTTATTATTTATTTTATTTTGGCTAGAAGAAAATAAGTTTTTTTACTGTTTTAAAGAACATTTTATGTTTGATAATATATGCCCCTCTAAATTCAATTGTCTACAAAAAAAAAAAAAAAAACATGGACATACAATGACCTAATTACCCCACCTTTGCCAAATTAACTTAATTTAATCTTTTAAGCCTTTAAATGTCATTTTAAGCTGAATAATACTGTCTTAAAAATATCTATGAAAATGCTATTTACTGTCATCATGGGGAAAAATCAGTTAACAGAAATGAGTTATTAAAACTATTATGTATAGAAAATGTGTAAAAAAAAAAAAACTGAAATTGTTAAACAAGTTGGGGTTATGTAAATGCATTGTAGTTATGTAAATGCAATAGTGCATTATTCGCAAAAGAAAATTTAAATAAATCGATGTCTGCTGGTGCAGAGATCAGATCTAGTTGTTAGGTCCAGTAAATCCTTCTTTATACATTCAACACCAGACCCAGAAGGACAAGCCAGGGGAATTTGCATTATCATTGATTGGAAAGCAGGCACGGATATTGCAGTGATTTGCAATACACAGGCTTTATTTCTCCACAGTAATTAATGGGCTGCCTCATGACCATCATTAGCTAATCTGCATCTAAACTGCGCTCTCACCAATTATGAGTTAAGACATACACTCATAATAACCTGGCAGTGTGCTGTCAGCATAAATTAGCTTGAAAATTGTGATCACACATTTTTTTTCACCCTACCTGCGATCTGTACTCTTAGCAGTGAGAGTATTTTCAAGAGGAAGATGGGGATCCAGCACAGGGCGTCAGTGAACACGATGAAAAAAAATCGCTTTGCAATAGTCACTTCCCGATCATATACTGTTTGACGCGCTGTCTTTGCTGTCTTCTGGACTGAGTAAAACATACTGGAGTAAGAAAATACGATCATCACAAAAGCCAGCAGATTCAGACCTGAAAGAAAAACATACACAACAAATATCAGTAACTTTGACTCAAAAGTTTATTCATTCGTTCATTCATTCAATTTCTTTTCGGCTTAATTCCTTTATTAATCAGAAGTCGCCACAGCAGAATCGACTGCCAAATGATCCAGCATATGTTTTACGCATCTGATGTCCTTCCAGCTGCAACCCACCACTGGGAAACACCCATACACTTTCATTCACACATAAAGTGTTCAGCAAAATAAATAAGCTCTTTAATGGTTGTGTAGTAATTGTTTTGTCATATACAGTAACCAACCTTTTTCAAATTTGTTGAAGGCTTAACATGATGAGCAAACCCAATATTTGGGATAAGTTTTTAAATGTATTTTGCAAGATTTAATGTAAAACTGCAACATTTTCCCCAGAGTTAGTTTTCAACAACCCCACATTTTTTAGCGTATGCTTGAAACATGCCCACAATGAGGCATCTACTTGGAAGCTGTTTTATTTTGTGAAGTTTATTTATAAACTAATTTCGAGAGGAGCACGTGATTATGATTGAACACGGCTGGTTCTGCATTAGCATGCATGATCCACCAATCAGGCAATTCCTAACCCGCTATAAAGAGCCAGGGTTTTTTCACTACAGTCATCTTCGATTTAAAGAATCCCCCCTTCCACCCCTACCTCTTCACCTTTCCCTCCATAGGGCAGCACGGTGGCCCAGTGATTAGCACTGTCGCCTCACTGCAAGAACGTCACCGGTTCTAGTCCTTTAACAGGTCGGTGGTCATTTCTGTGCGTAGTTTGCATGTTCTTCCCGTGCTTGCGTTGGTTTTCCCCGGGTCCTCCGGTTTCCTCCCACATTCCAAAAACATGCATAACAAGTGAATTGATAAATCTAAATTTTGCACTACAGTTAATTTCTCAACATGCAGCATATCTTTTCATAGCATTCAATTTTTAGTCATCAGTGTTTATAAAGGGGGAGTTGTCGAGATCTACCTGAGCTCAAGGCTCCCCTCTCGCCCTCCAAACGGGAGGGAGCCCAGGGCTCAAGAACCTTTGAGCTCAGGGCTCTCTCCCGGGACAGCATGCCAAACTTGCTTACAATCAATCATCAGCTAAGTGTGAACACTTGAACTAAGCATTTCTAGGTCTTTTTTCTAGGTATCAAGTAGAGTAAAAGTATCGGTTGTAAATATTAACTTAAAGTATAAATAAAAAGCAGCCCTTTTAAAAGTACTCAAGTAGTGAGTGTTAAGTATTACTCCTTGAAAAGCTGATGCTTTTACATGCAATTCGAGTGTGTGTGTGTGTGTGTAAACCTAACATTCTGAAGTACATTTAATGATTGTTTAAGTCTATTTGGCAAGTTTAGTCATAGAGTAAACATCTGCCATCATCTCATCAGTGACAGGCAGTTTAACCAGCCTCTGGGTCATTGATTTTGGACATCATCTTGGACACTTTTAATATGGTTTGCTGCATTTATGAAGTGCCCTTGTCTTAAAGGTTGTTTGTATGGTTGCGATTTACTTTTCTATGTGCGTTTTGATTGTACAGGAATCGTAGGACTGATTTTTTACTTAGCCAATCCCCATAGACAAGAAAAAATAAACTAGTGACTGCAGGTTGAAGGAAAGTAGTGGAGTAAAAGTACAGATACATAACTTAAAATGTACTTCAGGGAAAGTGAAAGTACACATTTTTTAAACTACTTAGTCAATTACAATTCCTGAGAAAAACTACTGAATTACAGTAATTTGAGTATTTGTAATATTTTACTTTACACCACTGATAGCAGAACAAATATGATTTACCCTCCTAAATTGAATTAACTGAAAGCTTTTTGATATAGAGCGTTGTTTAATTAGTAAATGTGCTATACAATTTTTAAATGATCCAAAAAAGTAATTAACTGCTAAGTCAGCTTCAGAGAACAATTTAACTCAGTTCATCTTTATTTCTATAGCGCTTTTACAATGTAGATTGTGTCAAAGCAGCTTCACTAGAAGATTATAGTGAATTAAAACAGTGCTGTTCAGTTTTCAGAGTTTAAGTTCAGTACAGTATATAGACTAGCTCAGTTCAGTTCAATGAGTTTTAATATTCACTGATGGGAGTCCAAACGCTAAAGAGTAATCCATCAATGCACAGCTCTACAAGTCCCGAACTTGTAGAGCTGCGCATAAACAAACGCATAAACGCACACATACTGACTTATTCAGCCCTCAAACATATAGCGCACAAAATCTGTATACTCCAGTGACCTTACCGAGAAAAATGGCTGTGGAATAGCATCTAGCACCAGGTTTCTCCGTCTGGTCTGAGTGAAGAGGGAAACACACTCCATTCCGCCCATAAAAGTTCCCAAATGTCTGTTTATCCCAGAAGGGAATAACGGCAATGATAAATCCTAGTAGCCAGATGAAGGTCAGTGAGCACAGGGTCTGTTTTCGCCCGGCACGGTAATGCTGGAACGGGAAGACGATGCACAGGTATTTCTCTAGTGTCATGTAGGTCAGCATCATGACAGACACTTCTGTAGACAACATGGCCAAAGAGCCAATCAGCTGGCAGGACAGGCTTTCCATCCAAATCTGAGCATGACGGTTGTACTCGCCGCAGTACTTGATGTCAAAGGCACCGATGAAAAGCAGATATACACCCATGAGACAGTCTGCACCTATTGGAGACAAACAAACGGAACATTACATTTAAAAGCTGTCATCAATCTGTCCATTGCCATCAGTTCATCCCTGACCCATTTGTCCATCTGCCCATGCAGCCATTTGCCATGTCCATCCTTTCCATGCATTCATCAATCTTTCATTCATCTATCCATTTACCTGTCCATGTATCGATCTGGCACTTTTAGTCCTAAAAATATGACTGATTATTTTAGATGCAATAACTTACAAATGATAGTTAGAAAGGCTCACATGGAAACTAACTTAGATAAGGTGAACAAATTGAACTAATAAAATAGCTAAAACTAAGACTATGGAAAGGAAAAAAAAAAAAGAAAAACATGAAAACATGCTGTTTACAGGCACCAAACTAATTGTTGGTCATTTAAATAAAGCTGAAAAAAAATGTAGGGAAAAAAAAAAAAAACAATAAACTCAAATTATATGCTGTTTAGATCAAAAACATCAACTTAAAAAAACTACTTAATTTAAAAAAAAAATATATTGAATTTATATATTCGGGATGTTACGGATCACGGTTGATCCATGATTCATAAAGATCACAACCCACAGTTTGGAAAGCACATGACCCGCAAATTAGGCTTATACATTTTTTTTTACTTGTAGATTAATCCTTAGTTTAGTGCTGTCGCCTCACAGCAAGAGGGTCACTGGTTCGAGCCTCAGCTAGGTCAGTTGGCATTTCTGTATGGAGTTTGCATGTTCTCCCTGCGTTCGCTTGGGTTTCCTCCGGGTGCTCTGGTTTCCCCCACAGTCCAAAGATATGTGGTACAGGTGAATTGGGTAGGCTAAATTGTAGTGTATGAGTGTGTATGGATGTTTCCCAGAGATAGGTTGCAGCTGGAACGGCATCCGCTGCGTGAAACATGTGCATTTAACTTGATGCTCAAAAAAGAAAGTTGTAGGCAGTAATTACATTATTAACCAATAGGTGACAACAACCCGCCATCGAAAATATGCCACTGAATATTTCTTCAAAATTGATTCATTTAGCAATGAAACATGTTCACAAGTTTTATGATTGAAGAACTGAATCAATCAGTATAAAACCAAAAATAAATGTTAGATTTCGACATTAAGCATTATCAGCAACAGTAACAGTAAATTTTTAACAGTATTGAATATTTTATCATTTATTTTTAATCAGCTGATTATTTCTTCATTTTATTTTTAATAAAATTACAGGTTTTAAGTTCTGTTTGTTGAAACCAAAAGTTTCTTGCAGTACTGTTTTTGTAATAAATGGAAAGCAAATTACATTTGCCTCCTCTTGCCACCACTTATTTATTTAGACAGTAGATAACCCATACATGGATCATACTCTTTTAAAAAACAAGTAGTCAAGTCCAACCAAAACACATATAATCCAATCCATACTCAACCAAATCCAATTAAAATGTTATATGGATAAAGTGTTATTCAAAACTTTAAACCGTGTCTGTTCAATATGGCATGCTAAAACTTGATCACATTGAAATGGTGAAGGTGTGCTCATATGCAATGATGAAGAATTGAAATGCCACATGGAACAAAAAAGAGAAGCATAAATATTAAAACAAGGGAAAAAAGCAGGAGTATGTCCTTTCAAATGACTAATCACCAGAAAAAACTATTTAAAAGGTGAATATTTTAGCGAGCAGTTCTTAAAAGTGCTATTTATGTAAATCTTATCTTCAATTTCATCATTTGAAATGACTTTGAAAAGTTGTTCATGTGCTCTCTTAAAAATAATTGTCATAGATGGCTCTATAAAATACCTTATTGCTCAGTCACCTTCCTATGGTTTCTTGGTTTCATTCAGTATTTATCTCTGGTAGTGTATGGCCAGGCCTGTTTGCGTCTCTTTTATTGCTGCTCTCTTTATCTCTGTGTCCCAGAAACCTGCTGAGGTGTTTGTTCATCTAATAATTACTAAGCACTGAATCCCCCACACACTTTCATTCACTCCAAAACATGTTCCTCCCCTCACAGATCTCTCTCCCCACTCGTGTTTTCATTCATCACTTCAGGGCCTCTGAGATGAGACACTTCACACATTGTGAGATTGTGTTTTGGAAAGTTAGCATTTATAGAGCCAGATTTCATTTTGTGAGTTTTCTACTGACAGTGTGTGAATTAAAGATCAGAGATGTAGCAGCTCATTGTCATACTGTCTAACACTGCACAAACCACTGTAAATTAGGATGCAAACAAGAGCTGATGATGGTAGAGCATGCGCAAGTTTCTAAGAGGTGCAAAATGGGTTAACATGTAAAAGACGAGTCAAGTAAATGATACTTTGGCTGCTAATCAAGACTAAACGTAAAGTATGAGGCACAGCAGTATGATTTAAAATCTGATACCCAAATTTACAATGTTTATTTACTAGGGCACATTGATATTCTTTAGATGAACATTTAAGCCTTGTAAGTTAATCCACTGAAAAAAAAAGGTTTTGGTAGTCTTCTATCAACTGCCCTGATGACATCGGTTTGAGGGCAACGCAGTGGCGCAGTAGGTAGTGCTGTTGCCTCACAGCAAGGAGGTCGCTGGTTTGAGCCTCGGCTGGGTCAGTTAGCGTTTCTGTGCATGTTTTCCCTGCGTTCGCTTGGGTTTCCTCTGGGTGCTCTGGTTTCGCCCACAGTCCAAAGATATGCGGTGCAGGTGAATTGGGTAGTTTAAATTGTCTGTTTTGTGTGTGTGTGTGTGTGTGTGGATGTTTCCCAGTGATGGGTTGCAGCTGGAACGGCATCCGCTGCGTGAAACATGTGAGGGATAAGTTGGCAGTTCATTCCGCTGTGGTGACCCGAGTTAATAAAGGGACTAAGCCGAAAAGAAAATTAATGAATGAATAAAGTCAGCACATGTAAAGTTGTTTTAGACAGCACTACCAACTGCACCACTGCGTCGCCCATGTGCTGACTTATGCTTATTTATTTAAAAACATATTTGGAGGAATTCTGAAGAAATGTTGAGAGTGTATTTATTAATTCTACATTGCCTATTAATTCAGTGTTAGTACGTTCATATTGACAAATGCTGAATAAGTGAGTGCTGATTATGTACAATGATCATAAAGCAAGCCATTGCAATCTATTATAACTTATTATTTAGTGGCATTTGGATTCACAGATTTTCTAGGGCTATTTTAAATGCTTACTGTTTTCCTGACTGTCTGACACTTAGACTGACTGGATTTCATTAACCTTTTCATTTCAGTTTAATTGTTATTGAAATTAGTTGTGCCCTAGGTAGTTTAGATTAGTTCACCCTAATAAATGTAATACCGCTATTGATTACTCACCCTCATGTCATTATAATCCCCTGAGACCTTCATTTATCTTCAGAGCACAAATTAAGATTTCTTTATGATGAAATCTTGAAGCTAACTGACTCTTTATAAACAGCAAGAGTCATGAGTAGGCATGGGACGACAACCATGTTCAAGGTATACCGTGGTTTGGAAAATTCAAGGTTTTAAAACTGTAAGTTTTCTGCAATACCGTTTCTAAGGTTTGTGTAAGATTTTTTATTTACATTTTTTTAGGACAACAGTATCTCCAGCAGAAAAGATCTCCAAAGATGCCAATTTAAATTGTAAAAAAAAATGTGTTTTTGAAACTAGTGAAGACAGCAGAAGTCAATGATTCATCTGAATTATTTAACCTGACATGTTTACTGGTCCATAACATTATAAATGTTTCTTAAATTTAAATTTATTGTCTTCAAAGGGGGAACATGTTTTGTTTTTTACACAGATATTTAAAAAGAATATATTTTAGAGCAGTAATCACAATATCGTGATACTGTGAAACCGTGATATTTATATCCAAGGTTATCATACCATCAGAATCTTATACCGGCCCATGCCTAGTCCTGAGGTATTCAAAGTCCAGAAAAGAAACCAAAAACATTTTCAAAATATTCCATGCACGCTCCAAGAAGACCTTCTGCACCAAAAACCCTTTAAAACCAACTTCAGTGTGTCAATTTTGCCAGCTTTTTCTTCCACGTCAACTCATCAGTGTGTATACAGGCAATACAACATAATGCAATTAGAGTCAGCAGCACAACATGCATGTATTGTGTTGCCCTATAAGCGCAAATGAAAATTTCTACAGGTTATTTGGTATACAAAGTCATCCTAGAGCCTTGTATGTGTAAAGTTGAGCTGCTGAAGTCACATGGAGAGTTTTGACAATGTTTTTGGTTTCTTTTCTTGGCTTTGAACACTTCAGAACTCTTGTTTATTTATGGAGGGTCAGAGAGCTCCAGGATTTCAAAATATCTAAATATCAAAATATCAAAATATTTTAATTTGTGTTCTGAAGATCAACGAAGATCTCAGGAGATTGGAATGACATAAAGGTAAGTAATTTACAACAGATTTTTTTTTTGGTTGAACGAATTCTTTAATGTACACTTTTTGGGGGTTTTAATTAATACAACAAATACCACTGAATATAGCAAATCTTCCTAATTCATCTTGCTTGATTCATTAAAACTAAAAGAAAAACTCTTCAAAATGCATATGCAATATGGTTCGCAGCAAAAAAAAATCATATCCATGCCTCTTCATCACTAATGTTTTACTCATGTCCTTATTAAATCCTGAGAGTATTTTCTTAACTATCAAAAGGCTTTCCGCTGATGCAAGCTGTTAGTAAATCTGCCCTGTTGTGTGGAACTCTAATCTGAACTGAACACGAAAGGCCTACAAAGACAGCTCGAAAACACACTTCCGCCGCCACCAAACATATTGCACTCATTCAATGTCACCCAGTGGGGAAACTCAAGATTTGCAGAGACACAACACAAACCCTTTGCTCTCTCTGCATGTCTCTCATCTGACGAGGTGACAGGGTTTGATCATTTAAGAGAGGGATGTGTCCTTTCAAAATCTATGTGGGTTAAGAAAAACTGCACCTATCTAGCCTTCTGCCTGTCCATCCATCTCTTTTTCAGCCGCCTGTCTGCTATCTCTCTCCATCACAGAGACACAGATTAGTCTTCAGACTCTGATCCCCAGCTGAACAGCTCTAGATATCGCACACTGATCCAACCTTTTCTAATAAGCTTCCATTTCTCTGGGCGAATGAAGGTGTTTGTGTGTGTATGGGTCCAGGTACGAATCTGAAGTGTGCGTCATAGGTGTCGAAGAGGTCGTCCATAAGTTGACTAGCTCACTTTGTGCGACACTGATATAATTATTTATCTGCCCAGCAGGCACGGTAGAGTGTGAGTGTTTTGATGTTTATTAAAAGCTTATGATACTGCATAGATGTATAATTTAGTGAGTTTCAAGGCTGTGTGTTGATGTGTATAATTAGCTGAGTGTGTATAACGACGTGTGTGTAATTTCTGCAATTAGAGGGAACTACGACCCTTTAAGCTTCTTTGTTTGATGCCTGCAAACTTCCAAAATTAGACCCTGCACTCATACACTGGTATTTCTGAAAGCCGACAGTCTTCTTTATCTTTATGACAAACATCTTTAACTTTTTGAACTTTGATATAAAACATACTGCAGGTGATTGGTTATATCAACACATATTCACATACTCCATAGCACCATCTAAACTTGTTGTGACTGTATGGTTCAATTTTAATTCATGTTGTTGTTGTTATTATTATATAGTATTATTTATTTGCATATATAGTTATATTTATAGTAAATTATTTAATAGTATATTATTATAATAATTTAAATAATTATTTATACAAAGATTCATGAAAACTATCACATTTACCACAAAAATATCATCCAGCACAAATTCAATATTTAAAATAAGATTGAAAATCTGCAAATAGTTTTAGACATCAGAGGAATAAATTTTATTATTATTTTTCTAAAATATGAATACTGTTATTTTTATCTGAAATGACACTTAAGTTTAGACTATTGACCTTTTTCACAATCCATCTTTACATCTGTAGCATTTTTTTACAATGTAAATTTAGTTAAAGGAGTTTAACATGAAGTTTTATTAAATTGAAACAGCTTCAGTTCACAAGATGGCGATGATGTGTCTAATCATCAGCAACCTAATTTTGATATCTTGAAAAGTTATTATATCTTAATTTTTAAAAACTCTATGCACATTTATGATGCAATACTTTCTATTAAATCATCTTTGCATAAAATTACAAAAAAAAAAACTAATTACTGTTTATACAAGGTGTAATGCAATGTCTATGGACAGGACTCTACTCTTGACATTGTTTTCTCTTCTGGCTACCATTATCAGTCATTTATATATATTTATTATTTGAACAAGAACAAACAAACAAACAAAAAAATTCTGTACTCTCCCATTTACTTCTAAGTTAATCTAACTATGACACATTTTTTTTTTTTGCTGAGAAACAGAAATGTTAAAAGGGTCCATTGCAGTTTTGACTGTATTTTGATTAAATAAACGCAGCCCTGAGTGAGTTTTTAAAAATATCTTACGTAAAAGTGACCTATAATGAAAATCTGGGTATTCCAAGGCATAATAGAAAAATAAAAGATCAGTATATGGAAATTGGCATACTCTGAGCCTCAGGCACCACTGTTTCCTCATTCTTATGTAACGAGTGTAAAAACCCCGTGGACAACAGGCCAATTTAGAAGACAAAAAAAAATAAAAAAAATACTCTGATGAGACCTACAGGCTATACCCTACACATTTGCATGTCTGCCTACTTCAGGTCATTCATCTACACCTGACGAGCAGCTGATGTCATCAACAGAACATTTATGCATCTCTGAGATCATAAAAAAGCTCTGAAATCATTATTATGCACATCCCAGGCTGCGTTTGATAATCCAAACGTTTTCTAGTGATACAACAGTTTTCCACCCTTAGTTATTTTATGCAAATATTTTAACTATATGTATGTTTTTTTTCTGAAAACGCTAGTCCCAAACTGTTTACTGTGTATCACTGACAGAATGAGGCATGTTCAAACTGGCCTCAGGATGCAAAATGCAAGATTTACAGACTACACATTTATTCATCTCCACTCTGAAGAGGCATGGGGTATGATTAGTTACACCTTTTTTTAATTTATTGTGTTTGTTGTGAAATTTGATGTTTCAACAAACATATGAATTCTGCTGAATCGTGTCAAATCACTCAGCTCAACAGTCGCCTGTTCATGCAGAGGCTGATATTAATTCCTGGCTGTGTTTTATTTGACCATAGCTTTAAAATACAACGCAATACATCTCTATTATTCTCTTTTGTCAAGTTTAAATATAATTTAGCCTTTATCCACAACCGATTTGGTTAGCAAAATAGGTTAGCGTCACTCTGTGTTCAGCATACATCATGTTCTGTGTATGTGTGTCTGTAAAGGGCAGTACGTCAGAGCAGAGTTTATTAATATTCAAAACATGAACTAGGCTATATATGGTCAATCATGGACTTTCTGATTTTATTGGTATTTTATGGAGTAATAAAATGTATAAAACCATTTCTAGAGATTTTATTAACTTACCCTTGCCATGAACCCACTATGTAGATATCAAAGAACTATTGAATTTATTAAACCACTGCAGTATGGCACCTTTAATGACAAAACTGAACTATACTAGTATCTAAAACAATATTTATTAAAATACATTTCTAAACCTTCCTACAAAGTCCAACTTTATAATCTAGTGAGCTCATGATGGAATAAAAACAAGTCTGATTTTTTTGATGCTGAAAATCTTGTTTCAATCTGAAATGTCTGAAGATCGCGAATGGCATTTTTTGTGTGTGAAGTGCTTTAGTTTAATGTTTTGACTGACTGATTGATCTTTGAGCTTGGGGTTGAATATGAGCTGGATATTGGCCATGTCATGCTCATGTTTGATGTATAATAGACTCACAGCAAAGGGATTTGATGGCCATGGTGTGATGTTGATTCTCTGAAGCAATACAGGACCGCAGACAGATGACGAAGATGTTTCCGAAGCAAATGATGAAGGCGACAACCCAGACAAACACCCGCAGAATGATGTTTGCGAGCAGATTCTCAAAGGATGAGATTCCGTCTGTGTTTGGTTTGCAGCTCCGCACATTTGGAGAATATCCACAGAATTCAAAACGCTTGAAATAACTGAAATTGTTCAACACAAAAATGACAGAAAAAGACAAACAGAAAAGCTCAATTGTTTTACACATAACAGAAAGCAATCATATAAAGCTTAATCATCACATGTAACTTCATAAATGTTCGTTTAATTGCAATTGGTTAGATTTGCTCATGCATAAGTGAAAATTGGTCATAATTTTTTTTTTTCATCCTTGTGTCATTCGTGTGGATTTAAAAGCGTATCCTAACCATTTTATTTTAGCATCATGAAGTGCATGAAGACTGAGGATGTCAGGTTTCAGAATGTCAAAAGCATGTCATAAAAATATGTGTAGAATAGTCCAGGCAACTGTCAGTCATATATGCCGTTGTTTGGAACAGACTGAAATTTAAATCTGAAAATCATCTTCACTTTGATCAGCTGTGGACAATATCTGAAAACTAGATCACACTTCAGACCATTCAGATGAGTTTTGTGAACTCAGTCAAGTAATTTGCTGAAATTATCTGGTTGAAGAAAAAGTGTGTTTACAGTTATCTTTTTTTTTTTGCCTGTGACGATTCTTTTCATGGCTTCAGAAACCATCATATGAAGGACGATTAATCGTTCACCTTAATTACAGACATTTCTCTTTTCACTTTTGTACTCTACTGATGAAGAAACTAGTTTAGAGTCACATGAGGATGAGCACATAATGGCAGTTTTTATCAAGAAATCAAGCTTGAGCGTGTTCACATAAAAACTGAACCTTTAGCGAATACCAGTATTGGGTAGGTTACTTCAACAAAGTATTAATTACTAACTATTAACAACATCATTAAAATTGTATATAAAGTTTTAAAGATCCCAATAAATCTCATTGTATAAACAAACAATACTCAATTTATTTATTTTTTACATTTGAGACAAACAGAGCATTTTAGATTTATCTGAAAAAACACTTTTTAGCTAAACAAGTTTCTTAAGCATGTGCATTTAGTCACCTTAGGATTATAAGGTTCTATCTGACATTTTTGCCAAAATTTATTTATTGACATATTCTTATTAAATGACAACTTATTTACATTATTGGATGCTTTTTTTAGGATCATTTATTCAAAAATCAAATGTGACACATACTGTTTGCTATATGGAATGCAAAAAATGTGATTATAAAGCTTAATATCTCAAAATCATTCAGAACACAACGCAGATAGAACCTTATAATTCCAAGGTGACCAATTGTCAGACAAATCTAACCTTCTTTAGTTATTCTACTTCTTAGCTACTGATTTTATACCATATTTAAACTAATTTCTAACTTAATAATTTTTTAGCATATGTACTGTAATTGTTTTTGATAAATATAACCTTCTTCAACTGAAAAATGAATTAATTCTTTCAAATATATTTCTATAACATAAAATACAATCACAATTTTTTCAAACAGAACTGTTGAATATATGTATTGTATTAAAGGCAAGTAACTTATAAGTAACTGCAATTACTTAAAAATAAAAAGGAATCTATTTACCTTTTCATTAATTCAACTACAGTTTCTTTGTGATACATTTAACACTGCCACAGCACATCATACTAGTCCAAAGGTGTTTACACTGGCATCCAGTTAATTTAGGATAGATTTTAAAGTATTAGTAATGGTTTATACATTGCTAAATTGTCTATATGCTCACTGAAAACAACCCTAGCAGAACACTTAGACCATTATAATGTTAGGTAAATTAGAAATTACAAGAGTTCACTCAAAGCAGGGTGAATTTTCTTTCAGCTACAACACCACCCGCTACTGGAACCAGCTTCAAGACGTGATCAGATGTGCTCCAATATTAGGCAAATCTTGACTGAAAATACATCTGTTTAGCTGTGCCTTTCCCGGATGACCACTGGGTTACGTCTGACACTATTTTCACTGGGCTATGTCTGACACTATTTTGTGTCTTTATTTCTTTATTAATCTTATTATTATTAGTTTTAACACACGTTATAAATTTGTTTTTAACCATTTTAATTATATATTTTTTATCTTTTATTCTTGTTTTTGTAAAGCACTTTAACACTCTTCAATGTGTATGAAATGTGCTGTACAAATAAACTTGCCTTGCCTAATGAAGTACTGACACCAGCTGAACACTTTACCCTGTTGCACAATCAAATCAAACAATCCAGCCTGAACAGAGTACGTGTTTCGCTGTCTTTTCTTAAGACCAGAGTGCTTCCGCAAACACACACACACACACACACACACACACACACACACACACACACACACACACACACACACACACACACTCACACACACACACACACACACACACACACACTCATCAGTCTCATCAAGAGTTTCAAAAAATGCAAACCTAACCTTCTATTGCTGTCACAGTCTGCTAGAGTGGGCCTGTCTCAGATCAAAAGTGAATTTTTAACATGGCTGATATCTGCAAAGTAACAATTCAGAAAACCTCATCTCCACATCAAAGTGCAGACAGGTTCAGCATGAGGTTCAGCACTCAAAAGACTTTGGTACAGCATCTCTCCTCAGCACGCGGCGCCTCTTTTGTTCACCACTGGTGAGGAGGGCACTCGTTCCTCATAAAGAAATGCTGGCATTCCATTTAAAAATCTCTCTGAAGACCTACACTACCAATTTTTTTTTATTTCATTTTCATTTCCCCAGAGGGGTACACATCTGTTCTGGAGATATTAAATCTGATGGAAGAAAAGTTAGAGATAATTCTCAAGCAGAGCGAAGCACGGTAATCTTGTCACCTGTGGAAAAAAAATCAGGGGTTCATGTTAAGATGTATTTACCAGCGGGTTTGACTTCTCGAATGTAGTAATCATTCACCTGTGGGCCGACAGTTACCATCCAGCCCACATTCAACAGTAATGACCTCTCTCTGCCTCTCGTGCTCTGTCAATTGATGGCTTAATAGAGGCATTTGTTGTATTTGTCTCGACTCGCTGTGCTCGACTATGCTGTGCAAGCCTGAAACACAGATAACTCTCCATAAAGGGCACACAGTGAAACAACTATGTATATATAGGGTGGCACGGTGGCTCAGTGGTTAGCACTGTTGCCTCACAGCAAGAATGACACTGGTTCGAATGCCGGTTGGGCCAGTTGGCATTTCTGTGAGGAGTTTGCATGTTCTCCCCATGTTCTCGGGGGTTTCCTCTGGGTGCTTCGGTTTCCCCCACAGTCCAAAGACATGTACTATAGGTGAATTAAATAAACTACATTGGCCATAGTTTGTGTGTGTGTGTGTGTGTGTGTGTGTGTGTGTGTGTGTGTGTGTGTGTGTGTGTGTGTGTGTGTGTGTGTGTGTGTGTGTGAGAATGATGGTGTATGGTTGTTTCCTAGTATTGAGATGTAGCAGGAAGGGCATTAGCTGCGTAAACCATGCTGAATAAGTTGGTGGTTAATTTTGCTGTGGTGACCTCTGGAATAGAGATGAAGCCGAAGAAAAGTTAATGAAGGAATACATATTTATAATTTGTGTACACATTATGACAAATATGACTCCCTGACTAAAATCCTCTGTGTGTTACCAAAATAGCAATGACCTGCTGAAGCACGAACTCCTGAATTTGTCTTGTAATATTTGGCTCTGCAGTAAGATGGTAGCTGTGGATCATTCAAATCTCGAAGATTGTGAGGTGTAGCCGCCATGGATTGAACTGCTACATCTCACAGATGAGTTATGGAGAATTTGAAGGACAGGACAGCTCTTTATCATGCTCTTCAAACCATTACCAAACAACATCGGCATTTCTTTAGCTGAAAGAGGGCACTTCTACCAGAAAACACCACTTTTATGATAGTCTAGAACAATGTTTGGTTGGTAGAACCTGTCAAATTTGCAACCACATGAAAGACTTGATGAAGTGTTCCTCCAACATTGTACAAAACATCACAGACCCTCTTATCAGTGTCACTCAGTGCTTCCTAGAGGCATCTTTTCCTCTAGTAAATGTTGCACTGCACTTCTCCAAGGTCCAGTTCTGATTCATGCTCATTGTGTAGGCACTCTGATGATTGGTCTACAGAAATGCAGCAGCATGCGGTGCACTTGTGACACATTCCTCCTATAAACATCATTAAATTTATTGTTGACTGGCAAGTATTTTCTGTTTATTTGGTCCAGACAGGACTGCCTATGTTGCTCTCGTGCATCAGTGAGCCTTGGGTTCACAACACCCCAGAGCTGCTCTGTGGTTTGTCGATTCTTGGACTACTGTTGGTAAATTCTGTTGACCAAGAGCAACCCACAAGCCTCAACATTTCAGTGATATTCTGATCTAGTTGTCTTGTTTTAACAATTTGCCACTTGTCAAAGCCCTACAGCTCCCTTTACTTTGAATTAACCTACAAAGTTAGTTGCAGTTTAAGAAGTTGGTGTCAATACATATTTTAAAAAAAGATTTTAAATTTGGAATCCAAAACAAGAGGTTCTGATAAATGATGTTATCTGTTATTTGTGAACCACATAGAGTGTGTAATGTTAATCAAGGGCAGAACACTCCTGTAAAATTTTCAAAAATCTCAACGTGCTTATTGCTAAAAAATAGGCTATAATAACAGATCTTTATTCTTGAAAAAACAAACAAAAAGCGCTTTGGGGTAAGCTCAAATGTATGGTCGGTGCTCTTTGGGTAAGGGATTCATCAAAACAGCAACAAGAATCAGTCCAAGGCATTCGAATAAAGTGAAAAATTAAAATGGCTTTATTCACATGGCTAAATCTCCCTACGTGTTTCGGCAGAAGTCTGCCTTCATCAGGGTGAATTAGACTTCTCTTCTTTTTTGTAAAACAGTTTTTCTATAGTTTCCCAGAGATGGGTTGGGCATCCGCTGCGTGGAAAGTTGCTGGATAGGTTGGCGGTTCATTCCGCTGTGGCGACCCCGGATTAATAAAGGGACTAAGCCGACAATAAAATGAATGAATGAGTTTTTCTATAGATGCTTTACAGATTATCATTATACATTGATGTATGTGTTTTTATATATATGTATTTTTCTATTTTTTTTTTTTCTCTCTCTCTCTTTTCCCATATATGAAAGTGGGTGTTTGTGTATCTATGCTGAATTTATGATGATAGTAGACTTTGCTTGTTAAATTATCTGAGTGCCATTTGAGATGTTTAAATGAGTCATGTGACCGTAGTACTCAAAAGAGACTCTAGACGTACCTGATCACTGTTACCCTGATGATGGCAGACTTCTGCTGAAACGCGTAGGTTTTTAGAGATTTAGCCATGGGAATAAAGGCTTTTTAAATGTTTCACTTTATTCGAGTGCCATGGACTGATTCTTGTTGCTGTTTAGATCTTTGTTCTTGTTCATTTCTCCTGCAGCCACCACAACTGATAGTTTGCTTTCAATCTAATCGACCTAGACCTTAATATGTGGTTTTGTTTGGAGACGATCAGTGGTTTTCACTTCACCTGTGACCACCTTGTTTTCCCTTATCAGTGTATATATGTGACTAGAAAACCAGTGCTTTTGTTTTATGCTCACATGTGAGTGAGGTTGGTAAGGGGCCGGAACATCCTGATACTAATGTTGGGAATCTCCACCTCTTCCATGCTCCTGCAAACAAAACAGACAGATGCAAACTTTACCTTTTGTAGGTTTTGACTGTACTGAATAACAACTGTAGAGGAATAAAACTGAAATAAAGTCCAGAGAAATATCAGCTAATGCATGAACGGACACAAGCTGGTGAAGACTGAACCTCTGCACATAAATCTCACTACATCTCTCAGCTGCTACATTTACCGGGAAAGGATCAGCCTACAGACAAGAACATAATCTTATTTAGCTCCGCCTTGCTGTTTTTCTGCTTGTTACTAACACCAAACCAGTCACATCTTCGTTTTAGAAAACCCTTTTCCTTATCAGGGCAATATATTTTCACTGAGCTGAGCTGTTTTACCTCGGTGGTGGCATTTCTTAAAAATAGAGCATGCCATTCATATATGTTAAATTATTCAAATGAATACTTGGCCTGTCTAATACACAACATAATTAAATAGAATTTCAATACTGGATGCAGCATCAAAGGTTTAAAAAATAATGAATTCTGAGGCAATTTTCAGTTGTTTTCTTTTGCCTTTTTGCCGTTCTGACCCTGGTCAGCAGGACTCACTGAGATTAAAACAGTGTGGGGGTTTGTAAGAAGAGGACTTAAGAATGTTGTTCCTTGTTGTTCAATAAATCTTATAGTTCTGGAATAGCTTGTGGGCCTTCAATTTCTGTTTTTATCAACAAATGACTGATTTTCGCATTATACGAAAATATATTATATATAATATATAATATATTATATATATTGAACTTATTCTGTAGCTCTACTTTAAAGGTACTGTAACTTTTTGTTTCAAAATTTATTGACGAGTCAGTATGAGGGTAAGAGTTAGTAGATTGTGAAACCATCCTCCAAACCATGTGAATAACCAATCATTACTGCAGGGAGCCTGTAACAACTGTATATATTCTAAACCTAAAGACCATTTCAATATGGCGATATCATTGTTCCATGAACATTTCCTGCTGGTCATCACAATATTTCAGAACTGTAACAAGATGTGATACAGTCATATCTAATGCTAACACCGCTGTCATTAAAAATGCATCAATATTTGGAGCTTTTTAAGTTCTTAGAAGCTATGGAAATGAAAAATCTAAAACAGGAAATACATTAAGACCATTGCTGTTGTTTACATCCCTCACAAGGGTCTATATGGGCAGATTTCAAAGGAAACAGCCTGTGTTATTCAACTGATATGTAAATCTTACACCTGAACTAATAGGTCTTCAGCTGTCAAAATAGTCCACATTTCCATTTAAACATAGATGACAGTAGATTTCATTTTGTAAATGGTGTTGCAGATCGCACAGTATTGCACACATAGTTACAGCATTGCCAGAACAAAGATCGTCAAAGGCATAGTTTAAAGTGCTAATAATTACATAATGTAAGCATAAGTTTGATTTCCGTTACCCATAGAAAATTAATCAATTACACGTAGTTCCTATTAATTCTTTCTCTAAAACTTTCTTCAGCTAAGCAAAGAGAAAACTGAAGTCATTGCTTTTGGGAAAATCGTTGAGGTTCTAAAGGTGAATGCGCACCTCGGCTCTAAGGGTCAATCAACAAAAAATAAGGTCGAGAGTCTTGGTGTGATTCTGGAGTCAGATCTGAGTTTCAACAGTCATGTCAAAGCAGTAACTAAGTTTGCATATACCGTCTTAAAACATTGCAAGAATTAGATGCTTTGTTTCCATTGAGAAACTTGTTCATGCTTTTATCGGCAGCAGAAGGGATTATAGTAATAGATTCCTCACTGGCTTTCCCAAAAAACAAACAAACAAACAAAAAAAAATGGTCAACCAGTTGCAGCTCATCCAGAATGCTGTGGCCAGGATTCTGACCAGAACCAGAAAATCCGAGCACATCATACCTTTCCTCAGGTCTTTACACTGGCTCCCAGTTACATTCAGAATAGATTTTAAAGTATTACTACTTGTCTATAAATCGCTATATGGCCCAGGACCTCAATACATTACAGATCACTCAGATCATTAGGATCAAACAAACTAGAAATTCCAAGGGTTCAGTCAAAGCAGGGTGAATCAGCTTTTAGCTGCTACAACCCTTACTACTGCAATCAGCTTTCAGAAATGATCAGATGTGCTCCAACATTCAAATCGAGACTAAAAACACATCTGTTTAGCTGTGCCTTTATTGAATGAACACTGTGCTTCGTCAGATAGATGAAACTATTATGTCTTTCTTTTCTTTTCTTCCATTCTTTTATAAGCTGTTTTATTGTTTTTATTTGTTTTTATTTTCTTATACTTGTATTCTTGTTTTATGTAAAGCACGTTGAATTGCTACTTTGTATGAAATGTGCTGTATAAATAAACTTGCCTTGCCTTTCTCCTTGAAAGAATTAAGATTAAATTTAGAGAAAGGAGCAACTTTTGTTTTTTCCTTACAAATGGCCCTTCCAAAGATATATAAGAGATAAAATGTATTTTACAGCTTTACGAACTTCATGTCAGCAATTCTTTGGTTCTATTTTTATTTTGCTTAGGGATTTGGGGTTTGATCCTCTGAGCAATAGACATGTCTTGTAAGTAGGGCTATGACTGGCTGAATGGATTGACTTTCCAGAAATGCATGGTGTTGATCCAGGAACATGTCCCACTTCTGTAAATCACATGGTAGTGTACAGGTCTACAGAGTGCAATCTAGCAGACCTCTGTAGACAACACTGAGCTGCAACACTAAAAAAGATTCTTCCCAGGAAAGGGCAGTGAGAGAACCAAGATGTTTTAAAAACCCTTTTAAGACCTCAATTAAAACAAACATGGTTATCCTAAACAACTAAATTCCACCCATTTTTTAAACTTTACCCTTGGGAAATAAAAAAACTAATCACATAAATTTAAAATTATATGCATTTGTGACCATGATTGGCTACCTAATCAGAGTGAACTGAGAGTATAAAAAGCTCATTCAATGTGACTTTAGATATTTGATTGTTCTCTGATTAACAGTCTGATGTTGTTAGTCCTGAACTGAATGTGAATATCTTGTAAATATTATGTAGATTTCTGCATGCATTATCCAGAGATAAAGGATCTCTCCTAACTCCTAACATGCAGCATTAATGTGGTAACTGATGATGTGTTCACTCACAGAGACTGCAGATTCACCAAACTGTCAAATTGATTGCTGTATATGTTCACCAGGGGATTGTTGGAGATATTTCTATAACACACACACACACACACACACACACACACACACACACACACACACACACACACACACACACACACACACACACACACACACAGAAACAGACAGTAAAATAGTTATTGATGAAGCCAATAATATGCTTCTGTGATTCATTGGACCTGTCACTTTGTCCGAAAGGCTTTCTACAAATGAATGAATACACTGGGCAGATCAGAACAACTACAAGCGAAAAACACAGAGATGCTGCTCCACTGAGTGACCTCACGAAAAAAAAATATTGTATAACCTTTACCTCTAAACAATGAGTTCTAGAAAACATCATTTGCAACATAAATAACAAAGTTCAGAATGTGGCTCTCACAGCTGCTTGAGGTTCTGGAGGTTCTGGAACAGAGATGGAGGCAGATCTTTAATCTGGTTCACAGACACGTCTCTGTAAATCAAATCACAGGAGATTCAGCAGCTCATTTTTCATCTTAATCATTCATGAAATAAAAAAAGAGCTTCAAACAGAAGCTCTGTTCCAACATTTGAGCTTATCGGGCTGAGATTATTTACACACAGCAGGTGTCTCTCTACGTCTTTCTTTCTCTGCCTTCCAATCTCAGTAAGGGATTTGCTTAAAGGGATAGAAATGAGAATTCTGTCAACATTTATTCACTCTCATGTTATTCCAAATCTGTGTGACTTTGCAAAACAGAAAGCCTTTCTTGTGTTTAGAAAAAGTCTAATAGATGTCAAATAGACATCTAAACATAAACATCTTAATTAAAACAAGGCTAAATTTGGGCTGTCAGTGTAAATCTAGACGTCTAACAATAGCCTAAAAAAAGAATGAATGAATACACATGTGAAGTCTGTCTGATCTGCCTATTTGATGACTAGTCTAGCTATTAACTAACTATTGTTAGACATTTATTACAATTCCAAGATTTCTATTAAACCTCTTTTAAAAACAAAATTATTTGGTTGGATTTTCTGTGAAACGATATTGAATAACAACACTTGTCCAATTCCAAGAAGGGCTTCATTTACAAAACATGTGCTCTACATTCCAGCTCTTGTAAAAGAATATATAACCTTTGAGTAAAAAACTGAACAAAAAGAAATGTATTGACCCAAAGTCTTGCCCTCAACCTGAGCTTTCAAATCTCACCTCTGCATTTATACAACTTTCAGGCTATGTATACAACCTTCATTTCTTTATGCTTTTGTTGTTTGGTGGAGAGCTATAAACATTTTTTTTCTGTATTTCAGGGCAAGCAAGAAAGAAATACAGGATGGAACAACTTGAGGGTAAGTAAATCAGAACAACAGACAGAATTTGCATTTCTAGGAGATCTAACCCTTAAAAGCTTACAAATGCAAATTCTTTTTCTCTCTCTCTTGCAGTACATTTTTATAAGCAATGAACTGGAAAAAATAATGACAAAAATGTAATGTAGTGAAAAACGAATGCCTCCATTTATTTGTGATTGTGCAACTACTCACAGGTCTATCAATCTTTGCATGTCTGCAAAAGTTCCTTCTTCGATGGTGCTGATGCGGTTTCTCCTCAACGCTCTAAACCACAAAAAGACAGTCATGTAAAAACACCATCTCCGACTTATACTGTACCTCAATTCACCATTGCTTTCAACAACGCAGAATGAAGTAATATGCTGTACATCTATATGTAAATCAGTTCTGAGTCATAAGAGATTCTGAAGATCAAACTTAAGAATCATCCATCTGGTTCCTGTTTCCAGGAACTATCTCGAACATTTCCTGTAAATGCTTGAGTACACAATCACAAGCTCACAGTCAAAGATTGGGTCTCAAAAGCACTGGAAGAATCAAAGAAATGAAATATTTACACATTTGCAGAAATATGGTCTGCTGTGATATCTATAGCTTTGAATTGGGAATTGGGTGATTGAACTGGATCAGATATCACAACAAACACACTGTCACTTCAGTCGATGTAAGATTCAGTAACATCTTGTCCAAGCAGAAAGGAGAACCCAGTCACAAATGCTAAAATATTAATTTACTCTTCGGTGAACTGTACATTTTTTTCATGGTGTCACTGGGAGTTTCTTTCAACTGTAAGTACTTTTGGCCCTGTGGAATTCCAAAGGAATTTAATTCCCTTTTAACAAGTTGCATGCTTATATGTTATTTGTTTACTAACAGTCAAAATATATATAATAATATATATAATATATGTAATAAATAATAAATTATTTACGCATCTCAGATGTATATGTGTAATAAATAATATATTATTTACACATCTCAGATTAGGTAAATCTATAAGCGTTACACAACATTCTCTAGTGGAAATGACGTTTGGGAAATGTACTTATCTTGCTACAGCTTGAATTGATCATTTAATTGAATTCTGAAGTTCTAAGCATTAAGTCTAGGATTTTCTGATATTATATGGTCATGTATTACTCAAAATTGCAAAGATACTGTATAACATTATAAGAATAACACTCAAAACTGAAATACGCAAAAACATAATTAAACAAAGCTCAGAATTTAGGGATTACAAGACAATTACCTTATCTGGGAACGAAACGCAGAAACATGCCTCCAGAGATTACACTGTGTAACTAGATTATTAAAGTTCGTCGAGACAAACTTTAGGCTGACTTGAGAAAGTCTGTTGGAAATAGTTTGTTTAATTTAAACAGTTTTAAAAAGTATGAAAAGATGATAGATAGATAGATAGATAGATAGATAGATAGATAGATAGATAGATAGATAGATAGATAGATAGATAGATAGATAGATAGATAGATAGATAGATAGATAGATAGATAGATAGATAGATAGATAGATAAAAGCAGTTTGAAAAAGGATAGATAGTTTTGAGGTCACAAAGTTAAATCTATTGTTAAGTCAATGACAGTCTTTTGCAATAAAAGTCTATGGGACAGTTGTTGCTAGGGTGCAGTATCTGGTAGTTAGGGTGTGGCTAAAAAGTTAAAAGCTCTTCAGTTATTGGCAGTTTGGTAGTTCAAGTTAAATGAGCTCAGCCATTAGTCTGTATGACAGTCTGATGCAGAGTTATGAGCTCACAAAGTTTGATCCCATGTTAAGTCAATGAGAGTCCTTTGAATGGAAGTCTATGGGACAGTTTCTAGGGTCCAAAAGTGGTTGCTAGGGCGTGGCCAGAAAGTTAAAACCTCATCAGTTATTGGCAGTTAGGTAGTCTGAGTTAAAAGAGCCCAGTTAGAAGTCTGTGTGACAGTCTGATGCAGAGTTATGAGGTCACAAAGTTTGGTCCAATGTTAAGTCTATGGGATTTTTCCGACCGTCCGGGGACGTTTTTCGGAAAATCGAAAGTCGGATCAGTCGGAAAATATATGGCATACCGAGTCAGAATAGTTTGGAGGTCTGGTGTGAGTTTGGGGGTCATAGCTCGAAAGCTCTAGGAGGAGATAGATTTTGAATTTTAGTCTCAGAAGAAGAAGAATAATATATATAAAAAAAAAAAGTTTAAATAGGATTTCAGTAGTCTGCCTTGTTTCTCAAGCCAGCCTAATAACATTCTTTACATAGTCTTGATTGGGTATAAAGCAACACTGTAAAAAACATCTGTAAATTGACAGTTTTTTCGTATTTTGTGATTCATGTTTTTCCCCACTTATTTTTGCTTTTAAATTGCATTATGTGACCTTGGTCTTTTTCAAAAAAACTTTTAACCTTGAACAGTTTGAAAAAGTGAATTTTATTAACCGTTTTAATAGTTTAAAGTGATACATTGTCTGGGTTGATGTTGTATATTACAGTACAAAACCTTGAAATAAACTGCCAGTACATTTTCTTTTATTTTAAAAACTTTGTTCTCAATATAATCATTTATTAATTTTCTTTTCAGCTTAGTCCCTTTTTTAATCGGGTTCGCCACAGCTGAATGAACCGCTAACTTATCCAGCATATGTTTTATGCAGCAGATGCCCTTTCAGCTGCAACCCATGACTGGGAAACACCCATACACTCTCATTCACACACATACACTACAGACAATTTAGCTTACCCAATTCACCTATACCACATGTTTTTGGACTTGTGGTGGAAACTAAAGCACCCGGAGGAAACGCACGCGAACACGGGGAGAACATGCAAACTCCACACAGAAATGACAACTGACCCAGCCGAGGCTCGAACCAGCAACCTTCTTGCTGTGAGGCGACAGTACTACCTACTGCGCCACTGCGTCACAGTAATGCAATTCACAACCAAAAATAAAAGGATAAACACAAAATACGGAAACTGCTAATTAGTAGATATTTTACACCCAGTCCCAGGTCCCAGTTTGTTTGAATTGTCATACTTTATATTGATATTAACAGTTTAAGAACATCTAGGGTAAAATATTAAATGAAATATTTTCATATTTTAATCTGTTATCTCTAATTAAAACCTGCTTGCAAGAGGTTTCCAACCAAAGAACCAAAATACAGAGAAAAACAAGTCCCACGGGACAAAGTGTCCTTCAAATGCCACTGACAGATCAAATCAAAGGCCTTACAGATATCAAGGATGTATATCAACATGTACATCTAAAACATGAGTAATTATTGTAATTTATTCACTCCCGATGAATTTAATCGACTCCGGTCGTAAATTATTCAGTTCAACCTAAATCTGCATTTATTTGGATTTATGTGGATCCAGCTGAGGCGAGAGACTCAGAAGGAGCGTTAGAAGAGTCCCACTTCTCTCTCCTTCCCCCACACTCAAATCAACTGTCTATAATATAATAACCCTGGATCCCACAACACCCATTGCAGTTTACGCCTTTTTTTACTGTGTGTGTGTGTGTGTGTGTGTGTGTGTGTGTGTGTGTGTGTGTGTGTGTGTGTGTGTGTGTGTGTGTGTGTGTGTGTGTGTGTGTGTGTGTGTGTGTGTGTGTGTGTGTGTGGTTTGTAAATACTTACAACACGGTGAGAGAGGAGCAGTTTTTAAAACTTGATGCCCAGAGAGATGAAATTATATTCCCCTCCATTTCCCTGCAGAAACAAACACCTGCAGTTGATCGCTTGAGCATGAAGCGCTCTAGTGAGTGATGTGAATATATAAATCATCTTTAATAAATACTGAAAAATCATTAAATGTCAAGGTTCTCCTTTAGATAAAAATGGTCAATAAACATTTTGGGCACTTAGACAACAAATTTAAAACTTACTCCCTAGTCAATAAAGGATGTTCTAAGACAAAGCGGTACTTTGCTCTTTTGTAATAGTCTGACCTATATTTTGCCCACATTTTAAACACCAACAAAGGAAGTAAAGTAATGTAGGAACATCTTTCAAAACTTTTGCTATCACAGCCAGAGTGTCTACAAACAAATAATGACTTTTTTTCTTCAGAACTGGTTTCACTTTTCTTGCCATTTTTGCTAATATTCTTAAGCAGCTGGATGTTTCTGTGTTAAAGCAGTTCCCTTTAGATTTATATACACTGCATGAGCAGAATAACCAAGAAGCAGATTTACTAAATAAGGCAAATTAATATTGCAATCACTTAAAAGAACAGATGGTAGTGGAAAGTATTTTGAATGATCTGACAACTGTGCAAATTAAGGTAGTCATGAACTGCTTTAAATGTGTAGTGATTTCTGAGATCCACTCATAACATTTTCAAGATATTTTCATCATAATTTTAAAGTAATTAAATACAGTATTTTGTTTCCATCTTTGATCCCCCTCATTAGAGCACAATGTTTAACAGATTGTAGGTTCAGAGGTAATTGCCCACTGGTGTTTGGCGAACATTGTGCATATTTAAAAGTTTTCAATGCTTTGTTTTTAATACTATAGGTTCAGCTATGTGCCCAGTGAAGCACATTTTAAACAAAATGTGGGTTGCAGAGTAAGTTTTTTCTTGACGAAATCAAAACAAATCAAAAACTGCTTAAGTTCAGTCTAAGGCATTTTTACAAGGTTTGATATAAATGTTCTCTGTTAACTCTCACTTTAATCCAGAGTTTTTGATTAATTCTGGACTGCATACAGCTGAAAGTTGCATCTAGCAAAGAGCCAATCACATGAGACTCATAAGCGTCATTTTAATTATTATCTAATGAGAGAGTCAGTGCAGTTTATTTCTGTGGTAAAAATTCATAGATATTATTATCAGAAATACAATGAATTTAAATACATTTACAAGGCAGCCAAAAGTTAATTAACTGCTAAAAATACAGTCAATTTAACCTTTTTATATGCTAAAGCTAATTTATATGTAATAAAAAAAAATTAAATTGCACAATAGCCATTATTAACATTAATTGACAATTCAAAACCATTCAAATAAATAATGTAACATAATAATTATTTAAATAAAAATATATAGAAATAACTTACAAATTACAAATTTTCACTTGAACCCAAATTAAACCTTACAGGTTTCTAGTCACCAACATGACAAAAACCCCGTCTCAAAACCAACTCACCTTCTTGAGTTGAAAATTCAGAGGGTTGGCTTAAATAAAATGTGAACTTACCTTGGTAACTTACCAAGCCAAAACAGCTTTGTGAAACAGCCTCTGATTTAAACTGCTTACAGTATGTGTTTTTTAACCTACATCTTTCATAGACTGGCATTACTGCAATTTAGGTTACAGACAGCCATCTTGACCATAAATGTCATATTGTTATCAGAGTAATAAATATTGGCACCAAAAATCCCTGTCACACCTTTCATTGTTTTAAATTCTGACGATATATTTTGAATGGCAATCGAGGGTCTACACTGGTCAAGCAGTTAGTAAATCTGTCCCCGTGTATCATTAACCAATCTAAGGTAGGCTTATGCTATAAATTTCCTTAAATTAAATGCCACTTGGCTTGACATTTTGTTTAAATTGATCTAAATTTAAATGGCCCAAACACTTCATAGATCCATTGCATTCATAGCATGTAAGATGTTTAAGTAGTAAATGTATAACTCACAGCCAGTTGAGACGGGGCATTTCATGGCAAATTGAGGTTTTAGGAAACTGTTCGACAGAATTATTTAATAAAGACCTGCAAAACACACAAACAGACAGCTGAGTTAAAAAATACAACTGGGAAATCATTCACAACTAAATGAAAAACATTTGACAGTATAGGTGTATATAACTTGAAGGGCTACGCAGTAGCTTTGTATATTCTATTTGATCCATCTGTCAAGGTCAATTAATAGTTCACTCTTACAGGAAAAATAATGATTTCAGGCCTTCAAAAGACTTCTGGCGCAGAGAGGATATTCTGTTCTCGTCCAGAATCCTACACACCCAGACAAACACACATCAAACAAATGAAAAGCTCACAAATCACTATGCACATTCACAAAGGGACCCTGACAACTATCTAAACTTGATCTGAAACAACCATCTTTCAGAAAGCAAAAGTCATTTGAGGAGAGCATGTCAAAACTCTGTAATGAGAGCAGGTCAGACTTGTCTCAGTCTGGGCCTTGAAAGGGGATGAGATTCATTTAAATAATTCGGCATTTCATTCAAAATCCATCAATTAGGTCTGATTGAAAAAGAGAGAGAGAAATGGCAAAAGCGCCAAGAGAACATGGAGGGAAAGCACATAAAAAAACAGGCAGAAACAAGAAGAATGAGACAAAGAATGAGAGAGAAATTACAATTGCCATGTAAATCACACCTATCATCTAATTTCATCTTCCATGTGTGCATGTGAGTGTGTGTTTTTATACTTACAGCCACTCCAGACTGCTGAGGTCACTAAATATGCCTGCTTTCAGAGACGAAATCTTATTCTGACTCAAAAAACTGCAGAGAGAGTGAGAGAGAGAGAGAGAAAGACAGAATAAGACAGAGAAAGAGAAAATCACATTAATGAAGGTCTGATGTTAAATGGGTTTTGTTAAGCTGCGTTGATTTTAGGGCATCTGCTGTATGGCCATCACTGCTGTTCCTCTTGACTTTATTCAGTCATTTATCTCTCTCTCTCCCTCTCTCTCTCTCTTCTCCATATAACAGCCATTTTCATTTTTAAGGCTGCTCCGTACTTCAATATGCGGCTGCTGTCCTGAGCTATTTAAGGCATCTTGCTGAGTTCTCAAACTCCTCTCTCGCCTTGCAAACGGGAGGGAGCCCCGGGCTAGAGGATCTCATGAGCTCAGGGCTCTCTCCCGGGACAGCATGCCAAACTAGCTTTATAATCAATCATCAGTGTAAATTCTTAAAGTAAAGTTTATTTACAAACTAATTTCGACAGAATCATGTGCTTATGATTGCTTGGTGCCGCATTATTCAATTTATGATTCACCAATCAGACAAATCCAATCCTAAGCCACTATAAATACCCAAAGTTCCATATAACAGCCATCTTCATTTTGAAGAATCCCCCTTCCACCCCTACTCCTCCTTTACTATTTGGGTGGCACGGTGGCCTAGTGGATATCACTGTTGCCTCACAGCAACAGTCACTGATTATAGTCCTTACCAAGCCAGCCGACGTTTCTGTGAGGAGTTTACACTTTCTCCCCATGCTCACGTGGGTTTCCCCCGGGTCCTCCGGTTTTCTCCTATTGCCCAGTAACATACAACTTAAGTTAATTGACTAATCCAAATTGGCACCATAGACGTGCTCCTAGTTATCTCTTAAGAGCAATTACTATCTGTTCATTAGCTACTAAAGCAGGGGTCAAAAAGCTCTGGTTGTGGTGTATTTGGGGAAGAACAAAAGAAAATGCATCTCATCCTTTATTTGATTTTTGTCACACTTTATATATTCTCTGTTCTTTAGGAATTTTTATGTGTGTCCTTTTTTATTTCTAGGTCATGATCACTAAGGCAATATTTAGAAAGAATGTTTTTTTTATTTTATTTTATTGTTTTAACGATAAATCTTATAGGGCCGAACAACATTGAACTAGTTTGGAGGTTGAATTCGGTTCTCTCTCTCTCTCTCTCTCTCTCTCTCTCTCTGTTCAATTCAATAATTGGTTTATTGGCATGACAAATGTTTAAAAATGTATTGCCATTATAATGTTTACATTAAAAAGAACACAGTAAATAGTTGTAGTAGTGGTAGTCTTCTGTTTTCACCATCACTATTGACCTTATTCTCCGCAGACGAGCGGGTGCTGCCATTTGAATCTTTTTGGCACGAGACTTCCGGTCTCATTCACTTCCATTCATTTTTAGACATTAAAAACTGCTCGTTTCGCTGTTTGATGTTGCAAACTGATATTTCCTTGTTATATTATTCTACTTGGTCTGTATAGTCATGCAAACATTTGTTTGTAGAGCAAGTAGTTTGACCGTTTTTTGCCGTTTATTATTCCTTGTCATTTCTCCCATAGGCGACTGAAACGGAAGTTCTAAGACAATCCCGAAAACAGGCGCACTTCCGCATTTTAGAATAAGTTCAATATGGTTGATTATTGTAAGTATGACGCTGATTAGACCAACAGTTATGTACGTATCGAGGCAGACCTCTGGAAATAAGTACCTACTGTATGTACACATGAACACACAACATCATTTGGATGCATTAAAATGCATTCTTTGATCATGGATATCCGTTCTGCCTGAACCAAGCCTAATCCACCATTGTCATTGTTATATCCATTTCAACATTGCTTTCTTTTACAGGATGAATGCGTAGATGATGAAAGCCTTAGACTGACTGATGGCACAAAAAGGTGTCTGATGCTCATAATTGCGCAGACAGATAATCAGTGTTACACATTCAGCTGGAGCTTTGAGAAGGATTGATGCCACGTGGCATTAATATAATTGCACACATTAAGTGAGTCATTCATTCACAGATTACTCACAGTTTACGCAAAGCGACCAGTCCTGAAAATGCCCTCTTGGAGATCGTTTCTATACTGTTGCTTTCCAAATGTCTGCAGAGACAGGAAAAATATTCACAGTGGTTTTTTCATGCACGGTGTATTTTTCACCTTATTAAAACATGCTCTGGCCCTTAAATAACAGCATAATCAATCAGAGCATCCCAAGTTTTTGTATAATAAAGCAATGCCTGCAAACCAAGTCCACACTGTTTCATGATGGAGCACTGCTTGGTTAACCAGTCATTACAAAAAATAAACCTTCAAGGATTACATAGGGCTTCTGTGAAGACACATTCTCTCCATCACTGTTTATGTCGGCATAATAATTGAATGAGGCTTTATCACAGTGAAATTTTAAATTTTTATGCTAATTACTATTCATAAGTTTAGAGTTAGAATGACTTTTCAAAAAATGTAATACTTTCATTCATTCATTTATTCATTTTCTTTTCGGCTTAGTCTCCTTATTAATCAGGGGTCGCCAGTGGAATGAACCGTCAACTTATCCAGCATATGTGTTACGCAGCAGATGCCCTTCCAGGCGCAACCCATCACTGGGAAACACCCATACACTCTCATTCACACACATACACAACGGACAATGTAGCTTGCCCAATTTCCCTACAGCGCATCTCTTTTGACTGAGGGTCAAACCCGAACACCTGGAGGAAACCCACACAAACATGTAACTAACTCCACACAGAAACGGCAACTGACCCAGCCACCTTCTTGCTATGAGGCATCAGCGCTACCCTCTGTGCCACTGTGCTGGCCGCAATTTTTTAACTAATTGAATAAACTGATTAAAATGTGACAGTAAGACATTTATAATCAAGACTTCTGTTTCAGTTGCAGCTTTGATGTTTCTGTGGATCCTACTAACATTTGAGGCAGCATATTTTTTTAACACAGGAATAAGATTCTTTAGAAATATATTAGGGTGAAGCAATGGCGCAGTAGGTAGTGCTGTCGCCTCACAACAAGAAGGTCGCTGGGTTGCTGGTTCGAGCCTCGGCTCAGTTGCCGTTTCTGTGTGGAGTTTGCATATGGAGTTTCCTCCGGGTGCTCTGGTTTCCCCCACAGTCCAAAGACATGTGGTACAGGTGAATTGGGTAGACTAAATTGTCTGTAGAGTATGAGGTGTGTGTGGATGTTTCCCAGAGATGGGTTGCGGCTGGAAGGGCATCCACTGCGTAAAAACTTGCTGGATAAGTTGGTGGTTCATTCCACTGTGGCGACCACAGATTAATAAAGGGACTAAGCCGACAAGAAAATGAAATGAAATATATTAGAATCGAAAATGTTATTTTAAACTGAAAATCAATTTCACAGTATTACTGTTTTTATTATAGAGAGTTAATCAAATCTTGGTCAGCATATCTATTGTATTTTTTTTTACAAATCTTACTGAATCCAAACATTAGTACGTTTACAAATCCAAACACATAAATCCTCGAATTTCAAGATCAATGAACTGACAGAAACTGCACGATGATCAAAAGCCGTTCATGCTATTCACTATTGATTCATGGTTGCTGTGGGAACAAAAACATTTAAAAGGAGCCTTTAATCTACATCAAACAATGAACCTATGATTGTTATCTTTATTCTAAAATAGTTTTTTGGTGGTGGCTTTTTCATGCTTTTGCTGATCGTCAGTAGAGACTGGAAAGCTGAGAAAGGGGAGTAAGAATCAATGCCAGAGTGCCAAAAGCACAGCTGCCTTAAATGTGTATGCGTTTAACCACAAGACTATAGACACACTGACTGTTCTAACATTTTCTGAGCAATCCTTGTCATTTATTATGAATAATTGATGGCGTGTCTTGTGAGAGCCTCTGCCTCTTTCTTTGTCTTTTTAAATGTTGTCGTGCTATACTGAGTGCTACATTTGAACTTTGATGGACAGTAAAAATGTCATGCTGTCTAAAGGAAGCTTCAAAATCTCAATTGCACTTAACAGCAAATTAAAAAAAGATGGAGCTGAATTTACTTTTTAATAGTTGAACAAACTGATGTAAGTCATATATTGCATACAGTATAGTGTCAGTCACCTTTTTCACCTCACACTCTGTGTTTTAACATAAGTTCATTCCATAAACAGATGTTGTCTAATATGCCTAAATTGTCTAACTGCCTAAAATGTTGACATCTGTCATCTTGGGTTTTTATTTATTTATTTATTTTTAATGTACATTTCTTTTCAATTAAGGGAATGCAAAACAGACAGCATATGGTAAAAACAGAACAGCACTGTTTATGTGTGTTTATGTGTTCTGTCCCGGCTGGGTCAGTTGGCGTTTCTGTGTGGAGTTTGCATGTTCTCCCTGTGTTTGCGTTGGTTTCCTCCGAGAGCTCCGATTTTCCCCACAGTCTAAAGACATGTGGTACAGGTGAACGAGCACACCAACAAGCTACAGAGCAACTGGAAAATTGTATAACTTTTTGGCAGCATGGTCTAAGCCAGGGGTCACCAATCTCTTCCTGGAGGGCCAGTGTCCCTGCAGGGTTTAGCTTTAACCTGCTTGGATGTTTCAAGCATACCTAGTAAGACGTTGATTGTTCAGGTGTGTTTGATTAGGGTTGGAGCTAAAATCTGCAGGACACCGGCCCTCCAGGAACAAGTTTGGTGACCACTGGTCTAAGCCAATATGGTTGGCAAACGATCTATGGAGAGTTTAAAACAACAGATTTTCAAACAAATTTACAATGGTGGACAGGAATTGTGTCAATTAGGGAATAATTTTTATTAATGTTATCTGTATGTTCCTTGAAATCTAATGACAATAGACAAAACTATTCAAAAGTCATTTGATCAATTTTGTATTATTCCTAGTAATAGAATTTAATTGATTGTCAATTTTACTCAGAAGGTGGCTCAAACTGACGTAGTTTGGTCAAAGTCAGGTCTAGATCACACCCATTGAGTTTGGTTTCAATACTTCAAACCATTGCAGTAATTCATCCTGTAATATCGACTGGCAGCATTACAGTACATCAAGTTTGCGCATGGGCTAAATGACAACAGTTTTGTCTATCAACATGAATTACATAATTTTTAGTCTACATGGTCTGAAGATGATCCGAGTCAAATTTGAGGAAGATTGGGCCAACGATCTAGCAGAAGTTAAAAAAATAATGGTTTGAACAAAGTCAAAGTAGTGAACAGAAATTTTGGCAGATTATGGCATAATTAGTATCTGTGTTGTTGGCATGACCCAAGAAATAATTTGAGAGCAATTTTATCAAAGTAAGCATATGCAGGCAAAAGTTATTACCAAATTTGCAAGTTTTATTATTAATGGCTAATGTATCCTCCTGAGACCCCGCCCATTAACTTGTGTTCTCTGTAGTGGGCTTTGCGTTTTCATAAATTTTCTTTACATTTTTTGAGCTACTCTGTCAAGTCCTGTTGTACTGTTCAGAGGACATTCTTTCTAGTGATATTTCATTTGATTGGCTGGCATGATAGGAACCACTTCTTACACTGCATCCAAAATGACCGTCATACAAGAAAGCACATTTTATGAGAAGGAGATAGGTATGTAAAATTTAGCTTTTTAAATGTTTTTTTTTTTTACTATTTTTATTACATATATATTTATTTATTAAAGTGTCAGGAACAATACATTTAGCTTTCAAAGCTGTTTACTTGTTTGTGTTTCAAAATGTCATCCTTTTTTAGTGTTCACTATAGTGGACACCAGGACCATCCTAATGTATTCAATGACTGCATGTTGTAGGAGGCAGAACTGAAGCAGAGAGGATTCTTTATTAGATAGTTGAGGGAGACTCTGATTTACAGTCTGACAATCAGACAATTGGAAATTAGAGACAATTAGAGAATGACACTCAGTTTTAAATTGTTTTTATGTTGAGATTAACAGAACAGATTAACTTCTCTTTTTTTGAGTTTTTTTGAGTTCATCTCTCTTTCAGACTGAACTGCTTCAGGAATTTCAATACAAAAGGAAAAAAATGGCTTTTGTTTTGTTTTTGTTATATTAATATTGGATTAACATCCCTTTACAGCCAGATCCTGTACAGTTTTGTTTTCTAAGTTTGTTGGTCGTTTCGAACTAAAATGATCCTGTGGTCCACTACAGTGGACATGCTGTAAAACTAAAAATTTTAAAATACAAAATGTAAAAACTCTAAATTGTAAAAGGTTTTTATCCCAAAGGATGTAGGAAATCACAGAAAAAAAAAAAACTATTTCTGTGGGTCTCAGCAGGGTATGTCTTATAACTCTTGACCCACAGGTGGGACTGTCACCAATTTTTTATGAGGTGGTCAGTGTGAGGCGACAATGACAGACCTAAATTGGTGTCATTCTCTTTAACTATCGAGAGATACAGCTTCAGATGAGGTTTGGCATCATGCCAGCACATTTTTTTAGTGCAGTAAACAAAAACTGTTACACCTATCAACACAAATTCAAAATCTTTTGTCAGCATGGTCTGAAGATGATCTGTGACTAATTTGGTGCAAATCAGCCAAATGATATAGGAGGAGTTTGAAAAAGTAGATTTTTGACTTAAGGCTAGATGACGAACAGGAAGTTCAGTTAATTAAGGCATAATTGGTATCAATATTCTCAGAACAAACCAAATGAATATATCAAGATAAGTGTCATAACAATAGGCAAAATTAGTCAAAAGTTTTTTGCATTTTTAGAAATATTATTATAACGTTTGACTAAAAGGTGGTGCTGTGACAAAACTTTTTGAGCAGCTTCAGAGCACAGTCCCGAAAACACATACTGACTTTCACAACAATTTGCCAATGCCTCCGTAAAATATAGCAATTTTTGGCATAATATAAAATGGCTGACCTGGGAAAATCAGACATCACTCAACTTGGCATGCTCCACCAGATATAAAGAGACCAATTTTATGAATTTTAGACGAAGGGTTGAAAAGATATAAGCAAATAAATAAATAAATAAATAAATATATATATATATATATATATATATATATATATATATATATATATACATATATATATATATAAAAAATTATATATATATTTTTATCTCCGGACCACTTGGAGGCAGGGCGTCGAAACGCTGCACCACACTTCAGACCATGGTTGTGATAAAACACACCAAGTTTGTTGTGAATACGTCTATGCATTTCCGAGATAACAACTTAAGTCTATTTACGCAAGCTGTGCATTAAATTTTATTAGCAAATTTATTAAAAACGGATCTTGTAATCAACCTGAATTTCAATAACTTTTGGTCAGTATGGTCTGTTGATCATGTGATTCAATTTTGGTAAAAATCGGACAAATGGCCTCGGACTACTTCGTTCAAATAGGTTTTACAAAAAATTCAAAATAGCGAAAAATTTGATTTGAATGCGTTTGAATCGCCTTGAGTCAAGAAATCAGAGGAAGATGTTTTGATCGACTGAGTTTTGATTGTAGCCAATTCGGTTTAAAAGATTTAAAGCATATGTGAAACTTTAGAAAAGTGGTGGCATTGAGAGTTTGAGTTAGAGAGTCCAAATTTGTTGTGGTTGAAGATCCGACTGTCCTAAATCAGTGTACCAAAGTTTACACAAATTCCACAAATGGTTCATTGGGCTGCCATAGACTACCAGAGCGGAAGAAGAAGATGGAAAAATAAAAATAAAGAAACGGAAGGTATACAATTGGTGCCTACGCACCTTCAGTGCTTGACCCCTAAGAATAATAGGAACGATGATCATGAGACATACTCAACATCATCGATTCTTGCTTTATTGTCAGTGATCTTGTTTTTTGTTTTGTTTTGTTTTTTTAGAGTAAATGAAATAATCATGATTGCTAAGTTGTAGCTAAACATCATTAATTTATAATGACTTGAACTCAATGCAAGGATATATTTAAAAAGTGTAGATTAGTTAGAGAGAGGGATTAAGGAGTAGGAGATGAGATTGAAGGATGAATAGTTACTCACAGTCTCTCCAGGTGTCTGTAGCGGATGAACAGATCACGAGACAGAGATTCAATTCTGTTACTGTTCAGCTCTCTGAGAGCAGCATGGGAGAAAAATAATGATTATTAGACATGAAAAAACTAAAATTGCGATTTGCATCTCATTCCCTACAGTCAAAACAAAAAACAACAACAAAATAAAATAGGAACCAATCCTGTAAAGTGGGTCTTTCCTGTTGGTCAGGCTTGTGGTCTTCTTGACTGACCAAAAACAGGAAAACGGCAAGCCACAGCACTGCTTTAAGGTTAAGTTCTGTTGCTCTCTGCTGCTAGTGTTATACTTACAGTGCAGTCACATTAGAGGATACAGCAGGTACATGGAGCAGGTTTTTCCCATTACAATTCACCTTCCGACCCTCACAATGACACGTGTCAGGATAGACATCTAACACTGAAACACACACACACACACACACACACACACACACATACACACACACACACACACACACACACACACACACACACACACACACACACACACACACACACACACACACACACACACACACAAAAGCCATTAAATATCCCACAGGAGTACTGTTCATTGACAATAAATGCTGTGTGGTACTATTTGCCAAGCAGGGATTTCCATATTAGTAATGAATATTGTCGGCTAGGCAATTGCATTTCATTTCAGATAAGAATGCTAATGTGTACTTATAAAAGTACTAAGTGTATAATTAGAATTCAGTGATAGTGCATGTGTCTTTTTATTGTTTTTTATGAGGCAGGCTTTAATGTTTTATTGGCATTGGAGCCTGTGCTAATTAGAACATACAAATCATTGATGCAGACACAAATTATAAAGGAGATATTAAGAAAGGTTACCTTATGTTTTCCCAAATAGAGAAACCCCTGCCATTAACATGACAAAAAAGACTTTTTTTCAACTCAAACTCCTTTTGTCCTTCCCATTAGTGTATAAAATCTGTGCTTTCATGCATTTTTCAATCCATTTAAAAACAGCAGGCTATCACAACCATGACCATTTGAAAGCTTTTGTTTCCTAGTTAAATAAATTGCTATGTTCCATGCTTTCTCCAGTTAAATTGCATAAACAATGTGTATTGATGTTACGCTGAAGAGAGAGACTGAGAATCAAGACAAAGAGAGCGGATGATTTAAATGTAAAGTCCTTATCATGGAGAGTGCCCTTTCATATCGCAGCACATTCATATTTCTCATTTCAATAGATCTCATTTTGAATATCTACCATTACTAATTCTCTGTGTATTTACATTTGCATTCCTGTTAACTTCATAAAAGAGCATCAGATTAGTTCTAACTTTTTGCTTGTTAAAGTCACTTTAGTAAAATATAGAAATGGAAATTATATCTCATAAATAACACAATACTTCAACACAGGCTCAATAAAATGTGTGTCTCAGCTTACATGTTTGTAAATATACATTTACTTCAACATATTGTCACCTTAAAATTCTAAGGTTCTGTCTGACATTTTTTGTCAAAATTGAGTTATTGACATATTCTTATTAAATGACAGCTTATTTACATTATGGGATGTATTTTATAAGTTGTTTACATTTTAAGACTTTTTATTTAAAAAACAGATGTTACGAACATACCGTTTGCTATATGGAATGCAAAAACTTTAAAGCTCATTATGTCAAAATCATTCAGTATGCAGAAAGAACTTTATAATTCCAAAGTGACGATATGTTGACTCCAACTTCTAGTAAAATGAACATTACGTGACAGTATGGGATATCAACAACTTTTCTTCTTTTCACTTGCTTATTCAATTTTCTTCAGCTTATTCTATGTGTTATCAGGGGTTGTCACAGCAGAATGAACCACCAATTACTCTGGCATATGTTTTACCAGTCTTTTTAGTTGCAACCCAGCCCTGAGAGTACAATACTCAGTTCTGGGAGATTCCCACTATGGTTAGGCGATGTCAACCAATTTGGCATCGTACGATGTGTAATGTGAAACATCGTGATCAATGTTGGCATTGTCGTTATAGGCGGCGGTGAATTAATTATTTAGGAATAATGAATTAATTCATAACGAGTTATTTATTTGTAGCCTAACGTTTTAACCACCTGACCGCATGGTCTTTGTTTTACCCATAACCAAATCATAAATAAATAAAGATAAGTTACACACAAATTACCACCTGTCAATCACTTTTTCCACAGGACACTGGTATGATCGACAACAAACTTAGTTGATAGGATAGGTGCACAACCAACAGGAACAAAGCAACAGTATCTGACAAGTCCTAAGTTTTTTTTTAGCTAAAATTACTAAGTACAACATGAAAGCGAAAAATTGAAGCAATGTATACTGACGTATAGTGAGACGCAACCCAGCGCTACATCCTTGATAAACTGTCAGATGTGCACTGCTCTCTGGGGTTTTGTGTCCAAAGCACCCGCTGACTATTAGAGCTCAGACGCACGCATATGCTACAGCACATAACTGTGTGTGTGTGTGGTCACGTGATGTTCATTTTCAGCGATAGTGTGAAAAGAGGGCTTTTCAGAAATTAGAAGTTAATTAGCATTTTTGGATGGAAACATAGCTATTGTGCACAGCTCATTTTTGCAGAAAGGCTTAAACTCCACACACATGGGAATAGTGGATGGGGAGAACAAGCTTATTTCCATTAAAAGCACAGGCAACAAAAACAGCTTCACTGTCTTAACAGCTCAAATTTTTCTGATTCAGAGAGGTGTAATAAATATTCTGATGAGTTTTTTTTTAGCTGAAACTTTAGAGACACATTCTGGAGACACAAAAGACTTATCTCAAATGTTTAAAAAAGGTTTAAAATAGGTGCCCTTTAAAGTTAAAAAAGACATTTCAACTCTTTCAACCCACTCAAAACATTTGAGACATGTACAGCTTAATCCCCATTGAGTCTGACACAATCACTTTTCCAACACATTCTGGTTCTCAGCCAAGTGGGTCTCCCTTACAGAAGTTTGACAGTAAGGAAGAACATCTATGGCATTTCCCATGGAGTTTAATGTTGTATTTTTACTCTACTACATTTGAGTAAAACCCTCCTTAAATTGTTTTGTTTTTCAAGCTAAAGAAATAAGATATGAAAGTGATATTAACTGTTTGTATTTTAAAACACTATTGGTTGTGTTTAGGGAAGTTTTTAGGTATGATAAGCCTTACCCTCTGGTGTACCTGTACAAGATGGATGCATTTCCCTAAACGTACAAAACAAAATGTACCCTAATATAGATTGCCAAAATGTAGATAGCAAAAATGTACACAATGCCCTCTGGTAGATTTGTTGTTTAAAACGTGCAGTGAAATGTACCTGGCAAAACGTATTGTTTCACAGAAATGTAGGCTAATGCAGGTATTTTCATTGACCCTGTATTGCAATTTTATCAAGATTTTGACCAATAGAACAAGGAAAAGTTTGTGAAATAAAGTAGAATTCAACGTTTTTTTATTACAAAAACAATGTTGAACTCTTCTCACATATCTTTGGGAGTTATGTCTCTAAGTTTAAAACAACACATTTTGGATCTGAGCCAACTGGGTATCTCTCACCCAAGTTTGACAATAAGGAACAACATCTACAGCATTTCTCGTAGATTTTATTGTTGTATTTTTACTCCACTCTACTTCCTTTATTTTTTTTTTCAAACTAAAGAATGCTGCAAGATATCAGAGTGATTTCTGAATCATGAATGAAGTCAAGTCTTAAACAGATTCTTTTGATTAAAACAGTTGAACTCTAATTTAATGGCTGCATATGAAAAGCTTAGGTCTATTTTATTGAATTTTTATTATTTTGACATGGACTTCACAAATACACTGGGCAACCAAATGCATGTGTTTAAGTGTTCTAGCAGACTTGCTAATTCTCAACACCTGTTGGTTTAACATAAATAAATATAAAAATAGATACATATACACAACATTATAATTCTTTACATGAAATTGCTTTAAGGCAAAAGCAAAGGTGGCATGATCAAACAAACTAATAGTAAACTAATTGTGTAAACACTGCTGTTTTGCTTTTGATCTCTTTTTAAGTTCACTAAAAACATTTATATTACTTTCTAATTTTAGGCTAACAGGTAAATCATTCCACCATTTGGCTCCCTTAACAGAGAAAACAGATTTACCAAAAGAGGTCTTATACTGTAAAAAGAGGTCTTGCTGATTTATTGCCTCACTGCATTATCAGGCAATGATATAGTCAGCATTGTTTGTACATGGAGAGTACTCATGAAACTGATGTTGGACAGACTTTAGATATAGCATATTAGATTAATGATCTCTGACTAATTAAAATTGCTTTGTCATAACAAAGCAAATAAATATTACAACCGAAATATCACATTATATTTAAAAAAGTCTACAAACCACAACTTCACAACCAATCAACAGTCCAAAACCACAACACAGTTACCCACACTTGACATTCAAAAAGTTATATATGGGCTAAACAAAAAATAAAAATAATGTTAATACCTAATAATATACATTATTTTAAATCAATCATTAGTCTGAAAATATACAGTCAGGAACCATAGGTATTATATTGTTTTGCTTATACTGTATACGCTTTATCAGGACCAGCTTTTGTTAAAAATGTCTTTAATATTCAACTGAATGAAGAGTCCCTTACACCTTGGATGGCCTGGAAGTGCGTAAATTAACAGACTTAAGGCAACCCCCTCAACAGACCTAAACCTGAAATTTAAAGCAGCATTACATGAACAAAAATGGGAAATTCTGAAAGTTTAGGGTGCCATTGGGATACTTTGGAAGAACAGCCTAGACTTTGATGCCAATCCATATTTCAGCTCAAGTGCTGGATCTGTTTACTTCATCCACCTTTGCCCTGAACCTTGAAGATTTCTGAATGAAAATCCCCCTTGACTCTCACTTCCATCACTTTGAGCAGCAAGTCATGGCAAATATCAAAGCCCAGCTATCCCAGCTACTATGCACCCTAATCAAAATGCCTACAGGAGTAACCGCTCAACCGAGGATGCCAAAACAACCACCATCCATCTCGCACTCATTCACCTGGAAAATAAAGGCCGCGATGTCAGGGCACATTGATTTCAATTCAGCAACACAATCTTACCTAAGACCGTAATCAACAAACTCCTCACAGGACCTTTTCATCCTGCCAGTGCTCCACAGGGTTTTCACTAAAAAAAATCACTATCAGGCCTATGGAAATTGTTTTGGTGCTGACAGCAATGCCTTCTAACAGATAAACTGGCCAGTACATCACGTCCACCATCAGGAAGCACCCCATTTATCTCCCAGACTTGAGGCGAAGGAACACTATACACAAGTATTTTCTTTCCACAGGCAGTCAGACCTCATCTCTGCATGCCATGCCTGTACAGACTCTGTATATTTCACATACATTGC